CATGCAAATAGCATTCGAGTGGCTCGCATCAGGCGTGCGTTAGACATGGCCATGGTCATCGCAACTGACAGGGGGTCCCTTTGAAAGGAAATTGATCTTCCAGGTACTCATGGGGGTTGGGGGGCAGGGGAGGGGGAGGGAGCCTAAAAAAGCCCTTATTAAGCCCCTAACGCCTTATTTGGGGCTTATTGGGGCTCCCTCCCCCCCTTCCCCCCAGCCCCCATGAGGTACCCTGCCACAGGTGCCCTGATAGGAGGAAGGCTATGCAGGCAATAGCCCATCTTTGGGGTCAGGTAGTAAAAATGATGTGCCTCCCGCAAGCGACCCTTCAGCGCGGGTGGCTTGAAACCCAAAAATTACGGGACATGGAACAAGAAATAATTTGCAACAAAGACAATTCCAAATTAAGCATGGAAGATATGAATATATATATATATAATTATATCTTGAAAGAAATCACACTTACATGTCCGAAACGTGAAAGGCAAATCAGAAGGTCTGCCTGGACCCTCAAAGTTACCTTACCAATTGGTTATAGCCCCAAACTTATGGGGTGAATTCCTCCTGGGAGCGGGTGAGAAACGCCACAAGTCAGTTTGCGGCGTTTTCTTGTTAGGGGGGGGTCAGGCCCCAAAAGCAACAGCTATTGTGTGTCTGTATACTGCAAGACAACAAAAGACAAGTCAGTGAAGGTCAGTTTGTGGGGATACTTTTCTAGGGCTTGCCATTTCTATTCTTGTCATGGGCTACCAAATCAAACATGGGACCCGTTACCATGGGTTGCACCAATCTAGGGGGAACTTCCATGTCCATTCTTTCCAGGGAGCCAAATCTGTTCAGGAAACCATCAAACATATAGTGGAAACGGATCCGGCTTTTGAGAAGAACGATGGTTAAAAAGAATGGACAAGCCCCAGAACTGTCTTGAGTGCCCAGCGATGCCTCTCAAACCCCACCTTGCCTTGTGAGAGCTGCTGGAACTGGACCCACTAGACGCCTCGAGGCGGATTGTTCGCTCAAAAGGACCCAGCGGGCGACCGATCGGATTTCAAAGAACTCCTGGACCCCCCAACTACCCGAAAAGTAGGAATTCACCATAGGTTTGGGGTTAATACCCATTCTTATTGGTAGTTTGAGGGTCCAGGTACCCTAGACAAATCAAACTCACCCCATAATCTTGGAGAAAAAAACAATGTTCAAGGGCCCGGTCGACCCCTTCAAAGGGTCCAGAAATTAAATTCGGTAGAAACACGTACTATCTGCAAATGCTACTATGAGTCCAAACCCCAAGCAAAGGACCATTTTCATGGTGAGCTCGTCACACCCCGAATCGCTCGCTGCAAAAAGCAGACACTGTGCCCGGAGTTTCGAGTCGGTTTCGCGCGCGACCTTTCCCAACCCTGCGGCCCACCCGGAGGACCTATCCCAGTGGATCCACGCTTCGCCCGGATACAGCATGTGCCCCCTAGTTGCTTCAAAGTCCCTCTTGCTTGCGTATTTCTTGGCAAACCCGGTGGTCCAGGGCAAGAAGGCATCTTTGTTGGTCAGGGGTAAGGAAGGAACAAACACTGACTTTACTTGGACATCATGTCTCTTATCCTGAGATCCATTTACCTGCGGTTTTAGGTCACCAAGGCCTTGCCGCCGTTTAAAAAACCAAAAATCGGAAAAATCGATCGAGGGTTCCCGAAGACCGAAGCGCCTGGGATCCCCTGAAATAAAACCCTGCACCATGGATCGCCAGGGGCGGCTTTTCGCTTTTTTCCATGCACTCAAAGCCATCCAAGAACCGATCGCAACAGCGAATGAAAAAAAAAAAACTGCGATCGCAACTTGGCGATGTCTAGGTAACTTTTAGTGGGTTAAATTCTGACACCCAATCACGAAACGAACTAAAACGATCCAAGAGCCTAGGGAACTGGTCATGTGTTATAGCCTTCGTAACGGGTTGTTCCTTTGGTCGCCTTGGATGTTCGATTCGCCAAGTGGCCAATGCCACCTGGGTTATAACCAAACAAGGTGAACTCCACTGAACAACCATTTGATCACAATGGAGATAGAAGGCTGGATCTGGGAACCGGCCCAAAAAGAACGATGCCTCATTTGGAGCTTGAAACGAGGCCCGCTCTAGGCGCCAAACAAAAACGGGTTGAAAACATAGGTGACCTAGGGGGGAAAAATGGGCATGCATGTTCCTAAACCAGTGGAACCCATCTATTTCTATTCAAGCTAAGCGATCAACAGGACACTGGTCGAAATCGAGTACCTAGAAAGAGCCCAACAGCAACCCCCGACTCTAAATACCCACTTGTTTAAGGCAAGTGTTGGAAAAACCCTGGGTCCTCCAGGGTAAATACAAATTGCTGGATATCCAAGCTGCTGTTTTTGTTCAGTCACTGTTGGTGTGTTTTGGGGTAAAGTGGATGGACAAAAAGCGATCGCAACTGGCGATTCAGGTTGTCCTAGTAAAGGGTTGACATCACACCAACGGGAGTATCTGCAACCTGGTCGTTGCCTTGCCTCCACGCCGGCATCGGATCCGTAATCCTATGCGAGTGGCCGCACACTCGCTTGAAGGCGAATCGGTTCTGAGATGCGGTGGATGCCCTAGATACCGTGGATGGACGGAATCAGTTCGCACAACTTTGAAACAACGGGAAACAATGATTTGTGGGTATTTATGGGAATCATCATCCCAAGCTTTGTTGGGTGGTGCGAAATGGATTTCGTCCATCACCAGTATTGCAAGTAAACCACCCTAAGGGTCATGACCCTCCAATGCACACCTCTAGGCCCTTTTATCTGGGCCCTCAATGAAGAATCCCGACCAATTCCTCACGGGCCCGAAAGAAAACAACCCATTTTGAGGATTTGCCCTCAAAATCAATCGAATCGGACCCTTAGGGCAATTCTAGGGGTACCTTCCATTTCCATTCGTTCCAGGGATCCGACTCTAGAAAACCTCTGGACACCCAAATGGCCGCGATAGTTGAAAAGAAGGATAGTTGGAAAGCATGGACCAGGAATCAAGCCCTGGAGCTTTGGTGGTTTTGCAAGGGACACCAAAAGGACAACCACAATTGTGTGGGTCTAAACCAAGACACCTTGAAAACTAGATGGCCCTAAACATATGGGGAGAATTCCCTTTGTGTGGGTTGAGGGTCCAGGTTCCCGAAAGGAAGCCAACGGAAAATTGGCCCCTAGAGCAACAGGAATTCCCCAGGGTTTCGCTTCTGCCATATTGAGTTGGCATTTTTGCGGAAGGTCAAGCCTCAGACACCCAAATCCCGCCCCTTGGTGACTGGGGATTGGTCTGTTCCCCGAGGAGGGAAGCCATCGGGCCCGTTGAAGCAAAGGACACCTCAAAACGGCATAAAGGAATAAGATCCATGGTCCAAAGGTCCGTAAACCCTTCAGCGAGTCAAGCCCCTCCAATTTTTTTTCTGGGCTGTCCGTTCTCTGATCCCCTGCTGAAGGTCTTACCTTTTGGCGAAATGGAAACCCAACCACTGATCCAAATGTGCAAACTGATCCCCTGCTACATGTTTACTTTTAGTGGGTTCAATGGAAACCCAACCACTAAACCAACTAAAAACAACGAAACGCATACCTTTTTAACAACTACCTGGACCCTCAAACTACCCTTAGAATTGGTTATTGCCCCAAAATGATGGTTGCTGACTTCCCCTTTTTAAGGCAAGCCCTGTCTGGTTCAGGTAAACAGTGAGTTGAACCGGAGGATTCGCTGGCAGCCCTTTGAAGTGAAGGCAATATCCAAATGCTCAGGGCTAACCCAGTGAACATCCCAATCCCGACTAAAGTGGATGGTGCACCTACTCCAAAATGAAATCCCATTGGTTTTGACCCACGGCCACATTTGCTTAAGCTTGCTAGGAAAAAAACTAAGACCTGTTTCCAGTAATGTTAACCCCTGATTTTTTTAATAAAAAAAAACACCTTGGTTGATTAATAGGGGGGTGTCCCCTTTTAGTGGGCCTAATAATGCAACGGGTTTATTCATCCTGGGTCAACATTGTGATAGATTCCCTTTAAGCCCAAGGGAAAATATGCCCAAGGGAAAGAGGGTATAGGAAACTATGCCATGCCTTGTGTGTCAAAAAACCCGACAAGGGAAAATAAGACAAATTTTCTGAAGCGACTGAAAGAACATGACATCGCCGCCGAGGTGTTTGTTTCTGCGTTCCCGGGCAAAAGGGAGCTCCGGAGTTCCGAGGAGTTTGTTCGCCCACCCGAAATTATTGTGGATGGGCGCGAAATCCGCTTTGCACCACTTTTGGAAGCCAGAAGAAACCGTTGCGTGTTGGTATTTTCCTGGGAATCATCATTGCAGGGTCTCTTAGGTGGTGCAGGATTTCGTCCATCCACAGTAACTAGCCAGAAAAAGTTGGATTTCACCAACCATAAGTTTGGGGCTATAACCCGTGTCTAAGGGATCTTTGAGATACATGTCCGCTGCCCAAAAGCTTTTCGCTGATTGAGTGGAAAACGACCACAAACCAGCGGAAAGGATCTAAAACCGGGCTGGGAACCGCCAAGTTTATCAGTGGTTGGGACTGGGACCCAAAGGCTCGCTTTTTGGTTTCCGTTGTGAAGTCTTGTTAAGATGCAGGTCACAAGCCCCAAAAACCCAGGCCTGAGCACCGGAAGGACCCATGGGAGAGGTGGAACCGTTGAACCGGACGTTCCCATTAAAAAAACGGGCAGAAAACCATGCCACATGCCGAACCGTGGGAAAAGTTCCTGAAATTGGATTGGCAGAAGTGTAGCTCGCTTGCTTGGCCAAGCAAAAAGACGTGATGGTTTGCCTTCTTTATCAGTTTTCCGGAAGAGTATCAAGTCCAGATCGAGGAATGAGGCAAGGCAACCACCTAGATAGCCAAGTTTTTTTTTTTTAGTCACTGTTGTTGGTTTTGGGGAAAAGTGCATGGGAGGAGAAAAAAAAAAACGAACGCAACTGGCGATGCAGCCACTCTTTTTTGGGTTTGCTTTCACAGGGTTGGGAACCCCTTGGTTACCCACAGGTAACTGGACCCATCCAAACATGTTCCCTTGGCCTATCCAAGCCTCTAAACCAACAGGTCAAAAGGAATGTTCCCCAAACGGACCTGGGAACGTTGAGAGCGCGTCCCCTCTCAGCCCAACTTCTTCCCGGCCTTTCCTCTAGTCTGTAAAATAAAAGGCAGTCGCTCATTCGTGAACCCCTATACCCCGTAATCCACCGAAACCGTGGGATTTTGAAGGAAGCAGCTTTCACTTTTTCGGGTCTCAATCTGTAGCTCCCATCAATGCGGACCCCTGATCTTCCATTGAAAGCTAGAAAAGGAGATCAAGCCGCCACCGCAAGATGAGAATATTTTGGCGGCGCATAGATTCAACCCCGAATCTTCCCTTCCCGATGTGCCGACAGCGCTTCGCCAACTAGAGAGCCATGCTCTCGCCATGGCCTGGAAAGTCATCCTTCTTTCTTGTATGCCATTTTGCACTTGAGCCTCTCCTGGTTCTGCTTCTCCAGTAGGGATAGATTCCCTTGAAAACCAGCACGGGAAAATCAACAGATATGGTAAGCATATTCTGGAAGTGACTAAAAAGTGACTCATCAAGTGGCCCTTTCATGGAAGAAAGGAATCCAACCACTAAAAAGGGAGACCCCGGGAAAACAAGCAGGTCGCTTGGTTGCTGCAAGGGCCCCGGTCCCATGCGCCGGTGGCCTTTTTCCGGGTCCCCCCGCGTCGGTGAAGAGGTGGGCGTACTTCTTGTCGAGCGCGTCCAGCGAGGACTGGCTGCCCAGCTCCTCCTAAGGCGAAAGGCGCCTTTCGCCAGAAGTCTTGGGGAGGTTGGGATTTCGGGGCTTGGGGGTCACCCAAGTCCATTCATCTGCCTCCCTCAAAGAAATCCACCTGGATCGCCAGTTGCGGTCGTTTTTTGTCCATCCAGGAATCCACTTTACCCCAAAAGCCAACAACAGTGACTGAAAAAAGCGATCGCAACTTGGCTATCCAGGCACTTAAACACGGGTAGCCCCCAACTTCTGGTGACATCCAACTCTTTCTAATGGGTAGTTTACGGGCCCAGGTTGAATGCCCCACAACATGGAAAATGGGGAACACGTCGATGGAATCCGAAAGGTCACCCCCCCCTGGCCCCCCCGCCAATTCCATTCTTAGGGGAGACATGGGAGACCACCGTCCCACTAAGGGGACCGGTTGTGCAGCTTCCTTCGATGTATTTTTGGGGAGAATCTGTCTCTCTTGAGAAGCCCCCCTTTTCCCGAGGCTTCAGGTGCCCAACATGCGGTCTGATGATGTGAATCGACTGAGCCGCTTGGCGAGTTTTGACACGGTGGTTCGTTTAGCCCGAGTCTAGGACCTTCAAGTCAACACCAAAACACATGAGGTCTTTCTCTGAAGTCTTGGGGACATCGCGTAAAGATGCACCTGACAGGGGGTCCCTTCAAGAGGAATCTGATCTTCCAGGTACCCTTTCACAGGTGTCAAGTTAGCGGGAGACAGGGTAGAGGCTTGGTATATCGAGTAGACCCATCCGCGATGGTCAAGTCCCCATTCTTGACCGTTCTTTTTATTACTGTTCGTCGAAGTGAGTAAGTTGTTGCAAACCCACTCTCGGTTGCTTTCTGCTCCCCTGCTAAAAGTGAATAACTTTTAGTGGTTTAGTACGGAAAACCCAAATTCGTTGGCAAAAAGTTCTCCAGTCCTAACAGCCCTTGGCAAAATGCAAAGCAAGTCACTTATGAGCCCCACCCTGGGGGGTCAGGAGACCCCTCCAATACACTCCCAATGAAGAACCCCGACCCCGATTTCAAGGGCCCGAAAGAAAACAACCCATTTTGAGGATTTGCCCAAAATCAATCAGGACCCTTCACCTGTCATTCGTGGAATATAACCCTGGTGGCAAACAACTTACCAAAGTCGAAAATCCGAGTACCCAAATATCCAAGTTGCTGCTTTTTGCAGTCACGATAACGCCGTTTGTTTTGGGGCTAAGAGTGCATGAAAAAAACGATCGCCACTGGCGATCCAGGCAATTAGCAACCATTGAAGGGGGAAAGGGACTCCCAGTTTTGAGACAAAGGCACCTCAGAGCTTCGGGGCTCATCGTTTCGGAAGAGCTCGAACCGGGCGAAAAGGTTACTCAAGCGCCGGGGAAGAAATTGATTCATGCAGGGGATGGGTCGTAGAAAGCACGTCCCGCTTCCCAACTGGAGCTGTAGCAGAAACCTTGGCATCCGAATACCTGGACCCTCAAAATACCCCTACAAATGGGTTGCCCCCAAAAAAATATGGTTGGTGACATCCCCTGTTTATGGGTACCCTCCCGCGCACCTGTAACAGGGTACCTGGCAGATCAAATGTTCCTTTTGTAGGGACCCTCTGTCACGTGCCAGGGTCAAACAATAATCGGGTCCAATCGGTCCCTCCTTCAAAGATCCGAAGACCTCAAAATGGGCCTACCTAGATAACCAACTTGCGATCGCTTTTGTCAGTCACGGTTGCTGGTTTTTGCGTTTTTAGTTCATGGAACAAACATCGATCGCAACTGGCGATCCAGGTAGTTCCCAACGCTGACAGGGTCGGCAACTTGGGTCTTCGATTCCCCAAGTTAAGCAACGGCCACCCTTCGGTCAGAACCCACGGAAACAACCGCCTCCTTAAGTGAAATGAAGCCAGTCCGTCGCTGGTTCTATCCTTACTAACTTGGCGAACATCCAGTACATGGAGGGTCTGATGCTTAAAGTGAGTGATTAACCGGTTGGCATAACCAACGGGTGCAGTTTGCACACGAAGTAGATCGCCCATTGAGTGGGTGGGGCACAATTGGGGCAAACCATGTGCTAACTGATTGGCACTCACCTGGATCGCCAGTTGCTGTTTCTTTTTTTCCATGCACTTTACCCCAAAAACCAGCAACAGTGACTGAAACAAACAGCAACTTGGCTATCTAGGCACTCCCCTATGCATCTGTGGCTCTCAAAAAGGCCCTCTTCAAGTTCCAAAGCCTTCCAATCTGGGCTGTTCTCAGATCCTCTGCTAAAAACTTGATTTTTTAGTGGATTAACTGGAAACCCCCACTGAACCCTAAAAGGCCAAAACACCCAAGGCTAGGTCCTCCAGTAGAGAGGTTCGAAGAAGGGTACCAACTTTTTGCTGTAGTCTATGTTAGTAGGGGACCCCTCCCTAAAAGGGCACTACTGGGGGACCTAGCTTTCTATCCAAACCAACCTACAACGGACACCTGCGATCTCTGGTCGCAACTTCCCTCCCCACAAAAGGGTGAGAAAGGACACCTTGCTGGGGGATCCGAGATACGTCCGTCGCTTCGGGCCAAGCCATTCGAGGTGCATCCGCCGGGAACAAATCCCGGTACTTGTCCGTGAGCCGGGACAGCGCGGAGCGCTTCTTCGCATCCTCGGCGAATGCTTTAGAAGGGGGGTTGCTCGCAGATTCGCATTTGGCCATGGAAAGAACACAATAAATCAAACAAAGGGAGTTAAACTTTTATGGGGCGTAACCTATGGCGAGCCATGGGGTGGATGAACATCCATTTGCCACCTTTGATGTTCACCAGGGGTACTGGGTTTTGACCCACAGCGGATCCCAAGATTCCCCGATTCCCGGGCGGAGGTGGAAGAGACCTCTGCTTGGATCTTCGATTCGCCCAGCTAGTAAGTGGTTAGCTGCGGATACAACCCACTGACTGGGTTCACCCCACTTCAGGAGGCTGAAAAAAGCTGGTTCTGACCTGACAACAGCTTACTAAGTCGCCGAATTTCTCGCACCCAAGTGGTGGGAATTGGTAGGGTTCTTTCATAGGCGTGCGGGAAAAGCCTCCAGTCGGAGCCTTCGGGGAAATGGGGAAGGTTGACACGCAAACCAAGGGATTCTGTCAAGGCTCCCAACAGCACAGTAGATTTTTTGGGATGGGCAAGGAAACACACACGCACAAACCAGGGGGTTTTGTCGAGGTCAGGCTCTGTGTGTTGTACCATTCTACTGTTCTCATGTTTTGTGCCTGGTTTCTTGAGGGCCCAAGTTGCAAGGAAACTCCCCTGCCTAAAGAAGAAACACACACTTGCTGGCAACTGGGCGCTGGTTTGGTTTGGTTCTCTCTCGCGGGCTTGTGGCCTCCGAACGGAACGCCTATAGATAGCCAAGCTGCTTTTTTCAGTCACTGTAACGCGATCGTTTTTTGGGGGTTTTGCGTGCATGGACAACAACGATCGCAACGGGCGATCCAGGCGCTTCTTGTGCTCAAAAGGCGTTGCCCGAAAAAAGTCATGGTCGCACGGCCAGATGCCGTAAGTTCCTCGCTTGTTGTTTTCTCCGAACTATGCTCTCGGACGGGGTTCACACGGGCCAAATACGGGGCAACTAAGGCCAATGACCACCTTCCCGAAGGCTCCGATCGGCTTCGGCTTTCAATGGAAGACCCGAGCCCTCAATTAGACACCCCGCGAACCGGTGGTTGGGACCCGGTCTCAAAACCCGGTTGGTTGAAGGCCCTAAATGCATCGGGAGCCTCTGGGTTACTGGGAGAAAACAAACAAACAAACAAAAAACACGCTGAACATGCCTGTTGACGGTCACAAAAGGTGGCGTTTCGGGGCTTCCGGAAGGAGTCACATGGAATGTTGAGGTACCGGTCTCCTTCCTTCTGACCCCAACATGGGTTGCCATGACCCCCAATTTCGGTTTTGGGCAGTCTGACATGTTTGATTCGGGTCAGAAGGAGACTCTAGGCAAGGAATGTATACTAGCTGGGGGACCTAGGTTGGGTTGTTTTCACCCACGTTTAAGCGGGAATTTGAGGGTTCAAGGTCCCCCCCCCTTTTCCGCACTGGACATCATATACTGAATAAAGTGGGTACCTCAGCTCTCAAACTTCTTAGTTCATGGCTGGTGAACTCCCAACTTTCTGGGTACCTGAACCTTCAAAATATACCAACTTAGAAATGGGGCATTGCCAACCAAAATTCATCCGCGCGGGTGAATTCCCTTAACCTATTTTATTCGGTTAGTTCGTTCGATTCGGTCCAATTGGTCTTGTTTGTCTCCGCGGGCAACCTGAGATGTCCGGTAAGATGCTGCAAGGCTTCTCCCTTGCTAGGTCCTCCAGATTTGAGAGGTTCGAATACGGGTACCAACCTTTTTTCTGTAGTCTATTTTTGGGGAACCGCATCTCCCAACCAAAAAGGAAAATTGCTGAGAGATCGGGCCACCAATTATCGCTGGACCCAGCTTGCCCAGCGGCCAGGTGAGGGATCTCATGCTCCTCCTCCTCCTCCTCATCTTCTTCCTCGGAAAGCCACGCTGACGCAAACACATCGCTCCGCTGTCCGAATTCCCTGCACCCCTGCACGTTCCAACCTGGATCGCCAGGTTGCGATCGCTTGCGCTGCTTTCAGTCACTGGTGCGCGATCGATTTCTTTTTGGGGGTTTTGCGTGCAGCAAAAAATGCCACTGGCAATCCAGGTCGTTGGTTGAATCTACAAGCCGTGATTAATACATCACCTCAGTTATTGATCGGGTGGGCCCCCTGGAAGAAAGGAATCCAGCCACTTGATTCTTAAGTAAGAGGGGACCCTCTTAAAAAGGAGGGGTTGGGGGGGGTGTTAGGGTGTTTCGCACCACGAAATGAAACCATGGGAATGAAACCCATCACGATTGTTACGGCATTTGCGTTGGGGAATCGAACCCACCCAGGGTTTCGGACGGGTGGCGCAACAAATGGATGTTGCAACCTCATCCACCGTGTGGACCGCCCGGGCAGTAAGAGATACTCAGTACCAGCTTCCGGGCCGGAAAGCTCTCAGAATTGAAAGATTCACCGCAAGGGTCGGTGGAACACTACTCGGCCGTGTTGTTTTTTTTTTGGGGGGGGGGAGGGAAAAAGCCCCCCCAACAAATGTGGCGGTGTTCCTTTTGGTTCTCCTCTGCAAACAAAAAAAAAGGGGGGGCTTGAAAACACGGGACGAGCCGCCCGCTAGTTTTCTTGTTCATGTGCAAGCAACAGGCAATTGCAAAGAACATCTTCGCTGGTGCCCCCGCGGAAATGGTGGTGAAACGCTCGGGGGGAATCTGTTCAGGGAACCCCTAGAGCTTTCCACTAATGTTGACCCCGGATTTATAAACCCCTGCTTCTTAATATGGGGGTGTTCCCCTCACAAAGCGATAAATCCCAACTAACACCAGGGACACCCCCATATTAATAAACAGGGGTTTATGCATCCGGGGTCAACATTACCCTACCGTGCACCTGCCCCAAACATGGGGATTCCATAACTGGGCTGCCCTCAGATCCCCCGCGGAAAGTCGACAACTTTCAGCGGGCTAAATGGAAACTACCACTAAACACTAGAAGCCCATCCCAGTATAGGGGCGCCCCACTTCGGCAGTCAATTTTCCTCTTCTAGGGCCTCCAATCAATCCCATTACGGGGGCCGAAAAAAGCTCAGGAACCGGATGGCTGGGCTCGCCACCATAAGTGGTCACTGTGGAAGGGGGTTTCACCCAACGCAAGGAAGGTGGCCCCCTTCAGCGAGCCTCAAAGAAATCCTAAGCAACCGGAGGATTTCAAACTAAACCACCTACCTGGACCCTCAACAAACATCCCATGGGTTATTGCCACCCAAAACCCTGCGCTTCAAAAGGCCTGTCCACAGGAGGCCTCTGGAAAGAGGCCTTCATTTGTCAAGAGGCCTTGTTTCGCAAACCCGGAAGTATCCATGGTAAGTATCCACGCCTTTTCAAGGCCTTTGGCCCCTTGTTCCTGGCCCAAAAAACATGGTTTTACATTGGCTGCATATGGTGCGTCACCCACGATATCGCTACATGTTGTCCTTTGTGCTCTCAGTATCTGACATCTTTACCTCGCATTGCTTTGCTCCAAGGCAGTTGTTTAAACGGACGAACTCCAGTGGAGTTACGATTCCATGCTTTCCTTTGGAGGTGTCGGCACAGTTTCGGCGACCCTGCATTTTTCGTGGAACAGACGCCACGCTCTTGCACGAAGGCTGCAGTTGGCCCAAGCAAAAGGTTGGGTTTTGGAAGTAGCGTCATGTGGTCCTACTGGGTTTTTCTGTGCTGTCCTCGCTTTTTGGCATTGCGTCCATGCCTTTTTGAGGCCTTTCCCCGCCTTTTTGAGGCCTTTCCACGCCTTTTTGAGGCCTTTCCACGGGTTGTCCACGCTTTGTCCACGGTCCAGCTAGTGTTCTGAGTCACTTCACTGGGCAAAATGGTGCACAGCGTTTTGCTGACACAGGCAAACAAATGCAGATCTTGTTGCTAACCTGGCTCAAATTTCTCAAGCAGATATCTACGAAGGGGGGGTTCAAACTAAAGAGCGTCCCAAGCAAGATGGTAGGAAGGTTGCAGCTTTGATTCTGCTAAAGAGAGTTTTTGGCTTTGGCTACCCCTCGAGACCCTTCAGCTGAGGCATGCGCAAAAAAGCATGCTATACGCATTCAACAACATGCCAAATCCCTTCGAGTAAGTATATTTGCCAGAAACTGCCCGAGGTGGCCACCCCCAACTTTTCAAGGCCGTTGCCCTTATTTTTTGAGGCCTCTGCACACCCGATTCAATGCCTCTGGAACAAAACAAGCCCTAGGACTAACAAAAGGAGGCCTTGGAAGCCCAGGGACAATTATGGTTGGTGAGTTCCAACTTGTTTACTAAAAGTCCAACTAAACCATGGGACTCTTTCAAAAAGGTTCAACCCCGGTGGCACCAACCGCCCACTTCCGCTTCCAAGATGCGACGTCAGGGTCTGTCTTGACCTGGCGCATCTTTTGTAAGAAGCTAGGTGCAGAAGACCAAAGATGCCAAAGGGACGCGTTTTTTGGGTGGTTTTCAAAGGGACACCAAAAGGACGACCACAATTGTGTGGGTCTAAACAAAGACACCTGGACCCTCCAAATTCCAATTTTAAAACTAGATGGCCCTAAAACTATGGGGTGAATTCCCTGTGTGTGGGTTGAGGGTCCAGGTTCCCGAAAGGAAACCAATAGATGGATAATTGTGACATGTGTTCAGACCCCTAAACCACGTTAGCAACACAGGTCTCAACCCACCAGAAGCCAGCCAGAAGCCAGAAGCCAACCCAGCCAAGCCGAAGCCAGAAGCCAACCAGAAGCCAGCCAGAAGCCACTACAAGTGGCCCGGAGATATAATCTTGTTGCTGGCTCAACCTAACAGCGTCTTCTCCACCTTTGCGGAACCTCCAAAAGTGGGGCATTCTCGATGGAGACCACCAGTCAAGTGCATAAGAAAACCCATAGCGCAATCGAATTTTGATTGGGAGCCCCTGTAGTATGTCCACCAGCATGTTCTTTTCATGTTTGCCAAGCATGACACTCTCAGCCACTACGGGCCTTACGAAAGCGTTGAGTTGACCCAAACGGAACTCGGCTCTGACGGCCCCAAAGCGTAAAAACTTCAAGGTACAAGAGCCATGTGGCGGATATGTGGCGGATGTGAGGATTTCCTTTGGCCAGGGTGCAGATGTTCTTTCAACAAAACTGGCTATTGCAACCCAAAATGATGGTTGGTGAATCTTATGGGTTGAGGGTCCAGGTACTTGCGTGTTGTGGTTGGTTGGTTGGTTGGTTGGTTGGTTGGTTGGTTGGTTGGTTGGTTGGTTGGTTGGTTGGTTGGTTGGTTGGGTGGGTGGGTGGGTGGGTGGGTGGGTGGGTGGGTGGGTGGGTGGGTGGTGGGTGGGTGGGTGGGTGGGTGGGTGAGTTGGTTGGTTGGTTGGTTGGTTGGTTGGTTGGTTGGTTGGTGGGTGGGTTGGTTGGTGGTTGTTGTTGGTTGTTGGATGTTGGTTGTTTGTGTGTTTGCCTTTTTGTTTGTTGTTTGTTATTGTTTGTTGTTTTTTTGCTTATTGTTTGTTGTTGGTTGTCGTTGTGGTCGTGGTCGTGGTCATGGTCGTGGTCGTGGTCGTGGTCGCGGTCGTTGGCGTTGTCGCTGTGGTTGTCGTTGTCGTTGTCGATGTCGTCGTCGCTGTCTTTGTCTTTGTCTTTGTTGTTGTCGTTGTCGTTGTCGTGGTCGTGGTCGTGGTCGTGGTCGTGGTCGTCGTCGTTGTCGTTGTCGTTGTCGTGGTCGTGGTCGTGGTCGTGGTCGTGGTCGTCGTTGTCGTTGTCGCTGTCACTGTTGTTGTCGTCGTTGTTGTGGTTGTTGTTGTGGTTGTGGTTGTTGTTGTTTTTGTTGCTGCTGCTGCTGCTGTTGTTGTTGTTGTCGTCGTCGTCGTTGTTGTGGTGTTTGTTTTTGTTTTTGAAAAAACACAACTTCCTTGTGGATCTTTCACGGAATGGAAACACCACTTCAGCCGCTCCAATTCCCCTTCGTTTGGGTCAGTTTTCCCCGGCGTTACGCCTCCTTGTCCGTGGCGTCGGTCCGGAGACCATATGCCTAGCGACTGGACACAGAAAAAGCCGGGAAACAACCCCCAAAGGGTACCTGGCAATATGTGTGTCTATATGTATATATATATATATGTGTATATATATATGTGTATATATATATATACATATTAATATACATATAGATACACACATGTATATATGTCCAGTAGGTAGTAGGTTCAAACTTTGATTCAACCGAAATAAATTGACATATTCTTAAGCCAATGGACAAAGACAACTCCCGGACCCCTTCAACGGGTGGTCAACCGTGGAGGGTTGGGTTTCCTCCATTTGCTGAGAAGCCCCCTGGATAAAACAGGTCCAGCAGCGACACATCTTTCAATCCAACAGGAGACAAAACATATTCATTTCAGCAAATGGAAGTGTCAACAAAACACGGCTCTGTGAAACCATTTGGATTTGATTTAGGGATCTCACAAGGGCCAATGCGACGGTTGCAAAAAAAAAGAAGCTTCGCCGCGAGGAGGGAGCTCACCTCTTACGAGTCTCCGAATCTGTCAACATTTTGTGGACGGCCATCACCCGAATCATTCAAAAACTGTTGTTTAAAAGGTAACAAGGAGACTCCTGGTATGTGAAAAACGAAAACTCCCTTTTTTCCTCACTTCCAGAATGAATGGGCCAAAACAGTCCATTTTTGTTTTCTTCCTGAATGAACGGGCCAAAAACAGTCCAACTTTTGTTTTTTAACCTCCTGAACGCATGGGCCAAAAACAGTCCAAACTTTTGTGGTTAACCTCCTGAACGAATGGGCCAAAAGCAGTCCAAACTTTGTGTGTGTGTGTGCCATGAAAATGGTCTTCCCAAAAGCTCAAAGTCCGGGGGTCAGGAAGTAAGACTTGTTTCCAACCATCTTGGGCCCTCAAAAAGGCGTTTGAGGCTCAAAACGCCGATTTGGAGGTCGAAGGAAACCACAAGAAAACCCACGGGTCCATGTTAGTGGACGGTAGTATTCGTTTTGCATCACTGAACGAAGGTTACAAAGAGCTCAACAGATTGCGAGCTTGGTTTGGACAAGCCAGACAATGGAGTCGTGCTGGACAAGCACCGGAACGCCTCGGGAACAAAATGATACGGCTTATGGGTGTGTGTTTTTTCATAGACCCCCAGACATGGTTGACCCCCCCAAAATGGTCGCAGCTGCTTCCTTTGCCCTTTCTTTCCGCTCCAACCGTTTGGTTTTTCTTTCACACCACTCCAAATGGGTGCGTCGTTTTTAGGGTTGGACACCCCCGGAATGGTGGTGGTCCTTTTGGTCTCCCGAAGAGAGGGTTCCCAAAAAACAACGACAGACCCAAAACAGGTACATGACAAGGGTCTCCAAGCCAATGCATATCGGCTTTTCGCGAGGAATGTTGAGGATACAAGTACCTGGACCCTCAAACTACCCTGAAAAATGGGTGGTCATCCCACTTTGGGGCGATAACCCATGTTTAAGTTGGAATTTGTGGGGGTTCAGGTACCCTCTCTTAGTGTCTTAGTGTGTGTGTGTTTGATGTTTAAGGAAACCCGTGCCGGGCATCGCCCAAAAAAAAATCGGCATTCTGCCTTATTTTCACACAAGCTTGGTTCGGGTCATACCTTTGCATGGCTTGGTGAAATGACAAAGGCTTGCTGTTCATACCATATCCCCTCCCCATTTTGAAAATGGGGATTTCCCTTCAGGGAAGCCCGGGGTAGCAAGGTCCACCCGACTGGTAGGAAATGGAAGGTCTGATCCTTTTGCCTTCGAAGCGACCTGCAAAAGTGCCCGTTGAAAGCTTGCTGGCGCTGGATCGGATTGCCAGGAGATCGTCAGGCTGTGATTTTTGAGTTACCCCTCTTTCTTGATGGTTTTCAGGGAAACCAACAGGAAAACCAACCCTATTTTGCTTGGTCCAACCTAAAAAAAGGCACACCCAAGCGGGCAAACCGTGGTCTCAAATCAAAGCCACTTCCTTGTATCCCAAGAGGGCACTCGAAGGGTCATGACCCCCCCAATGTAAACCCCACATTGGGGATCTTCAAATGGCCATGGGTCAAAACCCCGGTTACCCCCCAGTGAACATCCCAATCCCCACTAAAATAGGCCAAAATGGGTGGCGCACCTATCCCAAAATGGTACCTTTGGTTTTGAGCCATGGCCAAATGGAGAACCCCCACCCCAGGGCCGTGTTGGTCCCAAAAAAGTGGCTTACAGCAAGGCGAGTGACGTCTGGCCAAGGAGCAAAATTTAGAAACAGCGCGAGCGCGATCACTCGCTGCATCATCATCTTGCCGGGAAATTCGATTGGACGGTTGGACTCACACATCGTGTATTTTTTTCCAAGTAGGGGAGCCTTTGGTGGCCATGTAGGTTGGATTCATCTCCTCACAAGTGGTGAGGTCGGCTCCAACTCTTGAAATTCATACCCGAACCCCTCAAAATACCCTTACAATTGGTTTATTCCCCCCAGATGGGGTGGAGAAGAAACCCTTTTGATGGGTAGTTTGGTCCAGGGCCTCCGTTGGCACTTCTGAAGTCGGCTCTTCAAGTTCAGTTCGCCCAGGTCTGGGCTGAAGGCTCAGTGCAGAGCCCGAGAAAAGACACATCTTGGTTGCTGTTGACCCCCTACCAAAAGTTTAGCATTTTGGTGGTTTAGTGGAAAACCCCTTGATTTCCCGCAAAGTTAAAGTCTAAAGATCCAACCCAATAGCAGTTAAGACGGGGGCAACTTCAACGGGACCCCCCAAAAAAACGCTGCAACCCCAAAACCGCCCTCCTCGACCAAGCGGTGGCCCAACGCCACCCTCGCAAGATGCTCAAGGCGTCAATGGCAACCTTTTGCTTTTCATCGGAGGTCCAGATGCCCGGCTGCAACCAAAAAACAGAGCGTTGCCTAGATCGCCAAGTTGCGATCGCTTCTCTTTTTTCAGCCACTGTTGCGCTCGGTTTTTGGGGTGTTGAGTGCATGGAGAAAAAAATAAACTCGCCACTGCCGATCCAAATTTGAGGGTTCAGGTTTGTCTGGCGGGGGCACCCAAAATGGGCCGTGGTTCCTTGGTTTCCCATGCAAAGCTCAAGAAAATACGCACCCAAATGTTTTGGGCCATTTTCGTGCTGATTCCGTCACTGCCCGGACCCTCAAATAACTCGTGAAAAAAAGAAGTTGGAATTCACCCACCGCAATTTTGGGTTGCAACAGCCCACTTTGAAAGAAACACATGGGCCCAAAGCGATATCGCCCTATTTGTTTCAAGTTGGACATTTCGGGTCACTTTCTCTGGATCCCGACGCCTCACCCTTTCAACATTTTGTATTGGACCTGAACGGCCCAAAGGCCGATCAAGCCGGTGGCCAGCCCTTTTGTCTTTTTCTCCTGCAAAGATCTCGATCTTGAGGGCAAAAATCCTCCCAAATGGGGTCTTCAAGACTATGCACCTAGATAGCCAAGTTGCTCGATCGCTTTTTTCAATCACTGTTGCGATCGGTGTTTGGGGTAAAGTGCATGGAAAAAAAGCGAAAACGCACCTGGCGATCCAGGCAGTTCTTCCATTTACACTACCGGTCTTCTCCCACGGGTTTTGTTTGGCCCCGATGGGTAGTTTTGCTTTTGCTTTTGAGGAATTGGTCGCTTTGGGTTCTCCATTGCAGGGCCCAGAAATGGGGGGCGGGGTGTCCTCCAAAATGGAAAACGGCTTCCTTTTCTGGCCTTTCATGGTGGATGTCCCGTGTTTGTTCTTGTCACGGATTGACAAAACTTTTCACATCATACCCCAACAAGACTGCCTAGATAGCCAAGTTGCTGCTTTTTTCAGTCACTGTTGCTGGTTTTTGGGGTAAAGTGCATGGGGAAAAAAACATCGCCACTGGCGATCCAGGTGGGAATTGGGGGGTGAGGGACCCGCATTCTTTTGCAGCCCGAGCCGCGAAATAGTATGCTTCGCAAGAGGGTGACTTTGTCGGCCAACGAGAGGGCGATAGACTTGAGCCAAAAGCCGCGACGGACGAGTGGCACAAGCTCATGGCTGCCGGGGCGGGGGGGGTGGGCGTGGGAGGAGGGGAGGTAAGCCCTTAGTCTTTAGTAAGGCCATATGCTCAATAAGGGATGATTTGGGCTCACCCCTCCCCCCTCCCCCCCGAGCCCGCATGACAAGCATGTGGAACATGGCAACCCTGAATTCTATGATACTGTGGACAAAGTCCTGCACTATCTGGTGGGTAGCTTGCTCCTACTCCAAATACACGTCGTGTGTTGCTTTTTCCGTTGACACAATTAAAAGAGCCTGTTTTTTTTAGGGTAAATACATGCTTTGTTCGTCAGGGATTGACATCAATTGAAATCATTGCTCTGAAACCTTATGGGCCAGCACCCTCCGACTACTGCCCAAACGGCAGTAGATAGAAATTTCCCAAAAACGACCATAGTTAGAAAACTACTGCTAACTACCCGGTAGTTCCAAAAATACAATTTAGACGGTAGTCGGAGGGTGCTGGGGGGTAGCTTCTTCTGGATTTTGTCCAGCCGCCCCATAGCCGAATTCCTTGATTCCCACACGAATGACAAAGGTCACTGGAGCTCCCATGCAAGAGGCAACCTGGATCGCCAGTGGCGAGGTTTCTTCTTTTTTCTCCATGCGCTTTACCCCCAAAAACCGATCGCAACAGTGACTGAAAAAAGCGATAAAGCAACTTGGCGATTTCTAGGTTGATCCATTTTGCTACTCTGATTTTCGCCTGGGGGGAGGGAGGGTAGAGGAAGTACTCCCTCCACCCCCTCTCCCATGACTCGTGTTGAGGACAGATCGATCGCATTGAGACCTGAAGACACCCAGGCTAGAGAATCTAGAGAAGGTAGCCTGCCTGGACCCTCAAAATACCCTTGTAAGCATGGGGTCGTTGCCCCGAAAACAGGGGTCGCTGGATTTGAAGTTGTTTTTGCCCGGTGGATGAGGGTGGTTCGAGGGCCTAACCTTAGACCCAACTTTCCGCGAACTTCTGAGAAACCCATGGCCCGGCCAAAGAAAGGCGCGATCCAGAATAGCAATGTAATATGACCGGGCAAATGGGGAGTTGTCAACGATATGGCTGGCTCCGTTTTGGACCCAGGTGCCGCCCAAGGTGCCGCCTTGTAAAGGGGGCACCAAAAAGGGCCCGAAATTTTGACACTACGCGAATCTGGTTAGGTACGCAATCCCATTGGCCCTAGTAGGTTTTTGGGTTACCATGACAATGGCTGACAAATCGAGCCCTAAGAAAACAGACCCATATCCATTTCTTGCGTGCAATTTGAGGGTGAAAGCAGATGAAATCCCAGGAATCCCGACCCTCTCAAAGCGGCTTCGGGAGGTCAAGTGGCAAAGCCGCCCTGAGCATCTTGGTACCTCCAAAAGGCCCGCAAAGGAAATGAGCTTCCAATGGGATCGGTCCGCTTCCATCGATCCGCTCTGCAAAAGTCTGGGGGACTTTCCTCTTGGGCCCCGACTTTTTGTTGGCCCTTGGCTCAAATTGATGCTCCTTACTTGGGTGTTCGGTCGAGCTAGCAAGTTACGGCAACCAAGGCTATAACCCACGTAAAAGCGCCTCCTTCAGTGGGAGTAACCTATATCCCATTTGGTGCCAGTTGACTGGCCAGACGGATCAAGTGGAAAATGATGCAGCACTAAAGTGGCGGCTCGCTTCAGGTTTCTGCTACAAGGCCCGAGGTACGTGGCTTGTAATCTGTATCTTCAAACCATCGGACTCTGTCGTCGGTCAACACACCTAGAGGTCCCGGCCAGCCTCACGTACCCAAGTACCGGAGGCAACCGTGGAGCCCCGATTGTCTAGGTCCTCCAGTAGAGAGCTTAGAAGGGCACCAACGTTTGCCTGGCTTGTCTCTTTTACGGGAAGCCTCTCCCCCAAAACAGAAACGGGAACAGGGGCACTACTGGGGCACCTAGTTGTTCAGACCAAGATGCAGTCGATCTATCCCACAGGCAGGGATCCGGGCGAGAAACTTTCGTCCACCTCACCGATCAGTCGTCGAATCCGATTCGGGTGACCCCAATGCCTGCCGTGAGTTAAACACACCCAGCATCTGGTTCAAAATCGCAGCCACCCAAAGCTTTTCTATGGAGGGTGCAACTTGGCTATCTAGGTAGTTGAATCCTGGCTTCGGCTTTCAATGGAAGCCCCCGCGACCCCCTCCAGTAGACACCCCGCAGGTTGGGGTCCCAAACCCTGGCTGTCTGAGGGCCCCAAATCCATCGAAGCTGGTTGCCTCTGGGCAGCTTGAGCCCGACTTTTGTCAGTAGAGAGGTTAGAATAATGGTATTTTTTCCTTTTTTTTGGTAGTCTATTGTAGTAGGGGAACCGAATCTCCCAAAAAAAAAGGCAAAAGGGCACAGGGGACCTAGACTTAGCGGTTTCCCAACCCTAAGGCTCCCGATGCTTTTTGGGCCAATCCTCAAAATGGTCGTTGTTGTCATAAGGCCAAGCTCACGTAGTAGGGACCTTGAGTAGACGCGGCACAAGCGATAGTTGGCACTTATTTGTCAGGGTAAACACTACCCCGCCTCAAGTGGCTGGAAACGTGAGGTTCTTTTCGGACGCGGCAAACGTGGCAAGCGCTTTGTTGGCAAAACGCATTGGCTTAGCTTCATCTGCTTGAGCCCCCTGGAAAAAGTAAAAACATCTCCAGTAGTGATAGATTCCCTAAACCAAAACGAGGGAAAATAAAACATACTCTTAAGCGAATGGAATCTTGTGCTGCTCCTTGCAAGGGAAGGACCTTATGCTCCTGGGTGCGGTTGATCATAACCCCACCTTTGACCAAGCCTTTTGAGTGTTCTCATTCTGCCAATGCGGAAGGCATTTCCGGACAAATACCTGGAAGACCGACTCCCTCTTAAAGGGACCCCTTGGCAATAAGGAAGCCCTCGGGGAAAAAATGGCGTTCCTGGTGTTTTCCGCTTTTTCACCAACCCCAAAGGTGTCCTCTACAAAAAACAGCAAACAAAGTTGATTTTCCTGCTGAGTTCCGCTCAAACGAAGAAAACCCCAGCTTGTTGATGGACTAAAAAGAGCCGTAGACATCCAGGCCCCAACGTTCAACTTTGATTTTGGTTCCAGCCACAAACTCAGACAACCGAACACTTCCTCAAAAAAACTTGAGGGTTCTCTCAGCTTCAACCCCTTCCAGCCGAAAAAACAAAAAAATCGGCCCACCCAGGGCGTAAGGTGAGACACACCCGTGACTTGGTCCAAGCGGCGGTCGTGGAATTTGCGGCCTCCGGCTCGTAGTCCTGAGAGATTGAAGGCCCCATGAGGTCCAAACCCTTTCTGGGCTGTCCGTTTTCAGATCCGCTAAAAGCGACGAACTTTTAGTGGGTTAGATGGAAATCGGAACCCACTAAGCACGAAAAAGCCAAAAGGCTAAGGGGATGGCTGGGAGCCACCAAGCTTTCTGATAGGTTTCTCCCTAAGGCTCAGGACCCTTTCAATGCAGATCCCCGGACCCTGCAATGGAGAACCCCGGCCAATTCCTCAAGGGCCCTGAGAAACAACCCATGGGGGCCCAAAATCAATCGCGACCCTTAGGGCTGATGCTTTTGGGCGGAACGGAAAAAGGGGAGTTCACTGCTTGGGATCTTCTTTTGCGTGGATTTCTTGGCTAGGAACAAGGGACAACACACACTGCTCGGGCCGATGTGCTTTTGATGGCTTTGCCCATCAAGACGATGGAAACATGCAACGCATGTGTGCCACTGGAGAGCTCAAGGCAAATGAAAGGGGTGCAGCGAGATGGTTTTGGTGTGCAGAGCCCTTGCCTCAGCGGTGCTGGATAAGGCACCCGAAGGTTCAACTTGCCATGAGAAGAATGGCAACCAAGGGGACCCAAGGATGACAACCCTTATGTAACCAAAGGCGGTGAAATATGAACCCAACCATTTGTTCATTGGGGGGGTTGAATCCCAGGGAATCAGGGTGGTCACCCAAAAATAGAGACAATGTCCCTACTAAAAGGGGACCACCCCCCAGTCCTCCTCGTTAAAGTTCAAGGTCAACATTTATGGGAACCTCCAGAGATTTGCATAAACCCATCCTACTGTAGACAAAATCCTTGCACCAGTTGGGATGGATGAATCCCTATGAATACTGGAATAAACCAAGAAAAAACACCTACCAACTGGCACCATGGTCGTACTACTGGTGAGGGGAAACCGCCCCCCCCCCCCCTTTTTAAGAGCTAAGGCCAGGGTATGATAGGGTATGATGTTTATCCTTGACTAAAAATGATGTGTTCCACCAACCTTGTGTTGCACTAAAATGGTCCAGACTCCAAAAGTGACTAAAGTTCAGGAACTCAGGGAGTGAGGAAACTGGAAAACCTCCATTTGCTGAAGTCCCCTGGAGAAGATGGACATATGTCCAATAGTGGTAGATTCCCTTTCTCACCAAGGGTGGAAATATGTTGTTTAAGCAAAACACATCTTGACTAAAGTTCAGGAACTCGGTGAGTGAGTTTACTCAAGTCCCCTGGAAAAGACCCCAATAGTGACCGAATCCCTTTAACACCAAGAGAGGAAATATGTTGCCAAAAGCACAAAACTTAGCAAATGGAAGGAACAGTGATAAATGAAATCACCGGCAAAAAAAACATTTCCCGAATATCTCTTTGAGCCTCCCGGCGCCGTCTTCCAGCCGTGCTCCTGGCAAGCCGCCAGTAAAAAAGGCAAAACAAGAACGAGGGCTGAAATGCGCCATCTAAGTTCACCCGATTGCACTCCATTCCAATCATGGAAGTGGACAAAGCGCCTCTTACAGATGATGCTAGCCTTCCAAAACCTGCACAGACGCACTTCCGTGTTGAAATGGAACTGACATGGACCACTCAGCTAAGATGACTGGCACCCATCAAATATGAAAGCAATACATTTTGATGATGCTCAATGCCGCTTCTCCCTTCTGTAGGCGAACTTGCACCCGACCTCCGGGTCAATGACCCGTGCTTGGATCAAACTTGAAAGACTGATCTGATCACCAGGTTGCTGAGGTACAAGGTTGGGCGCACGGTGCAGGCCCCACCGGACTCTACATGAAAAACACTGTTGCTCACGAGAATGGCCAACATGCGGCCTATCCGTTCGAGAACTGCCGCGGATGCGGCAGTTCTCGACGTATATCACAGTGCCTTCTTCAGCTAGCCCTGCAGATTGATTTTCAATATCGGGCAAACTCCAGCAGGCCAACGCAGGCATCTGAATATTCTACCTGCAACGAGTTCTGGCCGTCTGCATCCAATTGAACCCAGTCAGGCACGCTAGAGCGTTGCTGCTTACCGTTCACTGGAAGCTGATACACCACATCTCGTCTGATCGGTCCTCGCTTCAACTTCAGACAAGTTGTTGATTGTTTCTGGAATCCCCAAGAAAGGATGGTCCGGGCGGGGGGGGGGGGGGCGGGGGGGGCCCTAAGGCGGCCTAGGGAACCGTAGGGAACCCTACAGGTCTCAACTAACTGCCCATCCCCCAATTGTACCTACCCTTTTAGGATTCCATACTTGGATGGTCGATTCGCTAAGTTAGCAAGTGGTTAGCCACCTGGGATCTAACCTACTAATGACTGGATTAACCCCACATGTTTGAAGGCTTGTAAGTGGGTTATAACCGAGGTTACACACAACTTACTACCTCGGCCGAACACTCAACTGGGCTGTCCGTTTTCAGATCCCCTGCTAAAAGTTTAACTTTTAGTTGGTTACATGGAAATCCAACCACTAAACACTAAGAAGCTACAACGCCAAGGGGATGGCTGGGAACCACCAAGACAAGTAAGGAAACTGTCCCAGGGCTTAGCCAATCGCAGCTCTGCTTGCACTCGGAGCCTGAAGAAAGCGAATCAACCACCTGCAACATGAGCCACGGATCAAACGACGATCCGTTACCCTACGAGGAAATGGGTGCGCCCTTTTTTGCAGGATGCCCCGTGTTTTTTTTGTTTGTGGTGTTGAAGGGAAGCCAAACGGAAAACCAGCAGGTTTTTGGATGAGGGGGTCCCTGAAACATTGACGCTTTCGTTCATGCGCTCGTCTCAAAACCTTTGGAATCCGCAAATGGCTCGTTACCTCTGGAGTCTCTTTACAACAAACCAGCAAAAAACCATACCCGCACACACATCCATCTAGGAACATTTGGGTTCACTGTCTTTTTTTGTGACAAATCTTCGCGAGTCCTCCCAAATGGACCACGAACATGAGCGAACCTGACATGGACGTGCATTTGTTTGAAGGACCTTTCTTGGGTTGCTTTACAGAACAGCACCGGCCATTTCAGGGTGGTTTGGCGTGCTTTCCCAGCTACCCTCTACAAGAACCAGGTGTTCAAATCCAAATCCAGACCAATCCCACACAGTCCAAACCACCCACCAAGGGGTGCCTGATCGTTAATTGTCTTACAAAAACCCATTCAAACCACAACTTGCTTTTGGCTCACCTGAGAAAAATATGACGCCCACCCCAAAGAAGGCAACTCCGCGCCACGCCAAAAAATCCAAGCGCTTCGACCCGCCTTGGGCCAGGTTGCCCAGGAGGTACCCAAAGCCTCGGGGAAAACAGAAACGACCTGACGCCTTCTCTCCATTTGCTTTGGCGTCTGGAGAAACACCGTTCCGTGGTAGATTCCAACTTGAAAAAAACACCCTCGGGCAAATACACCAAACAAAAAGTTAGGCAAATGGAAGGCTGGAAAACACTTATTAAGCAAATGGAAGGCTTGGCCAAAAGCAGTCGTTTCTCTCTTTTGGGGAGGCACAAACATGGCGACCCCAAAACGCCAACAACAAAACCAACTCCGCGTGAAACGGAGCTCGATGGGAAGTGAGGATGCCCAGGCCAAGTTTTCTGCGCCCAGCTCGATTTGTTTCGTGGATCGAGCTACTTGGATAGAGCACCTGGACCCTCAAGGTACTCGAAGAAAAGAGGGTATCGTTGGTTTCCATTTCTAGGTCCTCCAGTAGAGAGGTTAGAATAAGGGTTCCCTTTTTTTCTGTAGGGTCTAGGGTCAGGTCAGGGTCCAGGGTCTAGGGTCTAGGGTCTGCTATTCACCTTGGCTTTCTTGCACTTCGCGTGGTTTCTTCTTGGGCCCTGTGGCAGGTCTCCGGAACGGCCTCATCCATGTGGTTGACCAGCAAACATGTGAATTCTCAGCCAAACAGCCGAAAGTCATGCCGATGGCAAGCAGGGCCACGGTCGCATGCGCCCCGGTGTCAGGCACTGCGCGACCAACACCGACCATGGTTCCCGCATGTCGGCCGCCGGGATTAACGCCGTCGCCGTCCAGTCGGGCAACGACCTGGACCTGCCCAGCACGGATCGGTCGAGCATGTAGGCGATCTGCGCCATCGCGCCTATAGCACGCGGATCTCCTGCAGTCTATCTTGGTAGGGGAACCCTCCCCCACAAAAGGGTAAAAGAAAGGGCACTACTGGGGGACCTAGATTTTGGTACCGCAGTTGTAACCTTGCTTGTAGCCTGCCTGAACCTATGCACTTAAAAGTTGGTTATAGCTCAATGGGGTGAATACCTGGAGTCTCCATGACCCTTAATCATTACCAAAAAGAAAGATATTCGGGTCATGGACCCATGTTTATAGGGTCAGAAGGAGGAAGCCAACGACATGGACCTTCAAATTACCCCAAACCGTGATTGTTATTGCACCCCAAACTCCTCGATTTGCTGAAGCCCACTGGGCTCAATGACAACATATGTCCAGTGACAAAACCAACAGGGGAAAAGAACAATATTCTGAAGTACTTGGCAAGGCCAACCAAGGTTATCGCTAGGACAACTTGCCTGACGTAGGCAGTTTAACCATCCAAGTAGCCTAGGTCCTCCAGTAGAGAGGTTAGAATAAGGGTTCCCTTTTTTCTGTAGCCTATTTTAGTAGGGGAACCCTCCCCCACAAAAGGGTAAAAGGGCACCAAGCTGGGGGACCTAGACCACATCCCCTTTCAGGCGGGAGACGTTTGCATCCTTTGACTGAGAAGGCCCCTGAAGATAGCAGTGGACGGTTTCCTTGCCTCTATTTTCCATGTTGGGTACCAATCTGAACCACTGCCATGGGCCATATTCATTGTTTAATCCGTAACTCAGCTTAGCTGTTGCCGCTCCCTACTTTCGGTTCGGGATTGTGAGCATAGGCGTCCTTTTAGGGGACATAGATGGCCCTGGTAGATGATTAAGCCACCAGGTAAACCAGGAATCGCCATCTATTTTTCGAGCAAAACAACCAAAAAGGACACCTATGTCTGCAGATTATACTACAATTCCAAAAGCTGAATGAAGAATTGGATCCCCAAGTAAAGGACCTTTTTCATGGCTTTCGCTGCCCGAATCGGTGAGCTCGCTAATGTTGACCCCGGATTCATAAGCCCCTGTTTATTGATATGGGGGGGTCCCTGGTTTTAGTGGCGATTCAGACCACCCCCAGATGAATGAATCCGGGGTGAACATAACCTAGGTTACCAAGAACTTCACTTGGCGAATGTCTCACTTTCAAAGAAGATCGTCCAAAAAAAATCGTCCAAAAAAAGAAGCCAGACGCTTGGCATGCGGATGCTTCCATCACTTTCAAAAAGCTCCGTCCAAAAATCGGTGCAACAAAAAAAAGAGAAGGCTTCCCTTGGCCTCATCGGATGCGTCCACGTCTCACATCCAAGGCCCGTCTCCGAGCCCGTGGCTCCGGCTCTCGGGCTTTGGGCCCCGGCTCTTCAGCTTGGAGGAGAGCTCCTTCGAATGCGCCGACGCTCGGGCGATGCGCAGGGCGCGCGCATGGCGCGCGCATGGCGCGCGCGTGGCGCTTCGCTCGGCGTGCCTGGGAGCTCCGTAAAAAGAAGTCGCCGCTCCGGTGGAGTGGCCAAGCGCTAGCCTGCTGCTCATCTAAAATGGTCGGCCAAAAGTAACCCGACCTGATGTATTTACCACTAACATGGTCTTCCCCCCAAAAGTAGTGTTAAAGTCCAACGCAAGGGAGTGAAAACAAAAAAGCTGCCTTTGCGGTTTGGATGTGGCGAATCTGTGAATCTGGATGCGAAAAGAGTCCAAAAGAAACTTACATTTTGTTTCTTGCTGGAGTTGATCAACAGGGGGAGGAACTCTTCGCCAAGTTCGTAAGTTGGTAATTATAGCCTAGTCTCTTACCCGCTGAAAAGAAGGGTTCTGTGGCGCTCGAGCGCCTGGTTTTTGGTTCACCAGATTCCGCGGGCCACTCACTAACTTGGCGAATCGAACATCCAAGTACAACCCGGAGGGGAATTGGATGCGAAGACAAGTTTGGTTCTTTCGATAGTTTGAGGGTCTGACCGAGTCTGACCCATGGAACTTGGGGAAAATACCTCGGAAGATGACCCTTGCAAGACACCCCGAACAATTTGTTCGAGCAACTCGGGAGATGTGGTACGGGGACCGGGTTGACCGGGTTCAGGGCTCTGCAAATAGCCTTAGGGAAAGACACCTTGGCTGAAACGAGCCCTCTGCACAGAGGAGCTTGTCCACTGATTCAGCCAAAAAGTTAAAGATCCAAAGATCCAAGCAATAGCCATAAAGACACATGCTGTCGATAGGCTAGGCAAAGTTCACAAACCATATGCGAAGTGGACACCCGATTTGAACACTGGCTGAAATCACCACCTGCCAAGTTTCAGGCTCAAAGCTCATGCGAGAAGGGCAATTTGGCAATTCGCGCCCTGGGGTTGAGGCAGGCCACGATTAAAAAGTTGTTTTCCGTTCAGGATGGTCATCCTCCAAGTTGGGTCGATCATTCTTGTCAAGCCTTGACTAAGAAAGGGATCGGTACTTGCCCTCAAAAACCCGGTTGTCCAAAAGAAAACGAGTACTAGCCACAGTACCCCACCGGAACCCTCACACTCACGCCTGCACCTCCGGGTCATCTGTGATGGAAGACGCCTGTCCGCACACACATCAGGACTCCCCAAATGAAAACTGATGTACATGATCTTTTTTAACCAAAACAACACGATTTTATCAGCAAATCAGAAACAACCCTAACGAACAATTCCTCAGGGGCGCCAAAGAACAACTTGCTTTCAGGGTCAGAGCATCCCAAAGTCCCAAACAAGTCTGGCGTTGCAAGTTCCCTCTACTCCAAATACTTGTTGTAAGGGACGCAAACCCTTAGTTTTCCAAGGCAAGCACCCCCGAAAAACAAGGGTTGACCACATATGCCCCGTCCAAAACGCAGAATTCTTTGGAGCCCAAGGAATTGGAGCCTTTTGTTGGCACTCCCTTGGAAGGTGGAGTTTTCCTTTTGGTTTCTACCAAAAACCAAGTAGCCTCAAAAAGGAAGCGGCATTTTGGAGCCTGACCGGAGGCATTTTTTTTCGAGATGGGCCCCAAAAAGGAAAACCTGGCGCTTTTAATCGCTTGATCTACCACGACTATGGTCCATTTGCTTTTTCGCCCCTCCCGAAGCATCCAAGGGGCCCTCCAAAAGGCCGTTTTGGAGGTCCAAGACCTTGCAATGGAGGTCCGGTTCAACCCCATAAATGGAGAGCCCAATGATGCTTAGGGCTGGCAAAATGTACATTGTCACATTCCAATAGTGATAGACCTTTAAAACCAACAAGGGAACATAATAAATTAAGCAAATGGAAGCAATATACCGCGAAAATGGTCCTGACCCAAAAAAGTGACTCTCTCGTCCGTAACGGAACTCGATCGGGAATGAGTTGAACTCACTTGCCCAAAGGACCCAGAAATACAAAACCTTGACCGATGGACCAAATCAGGGAACCCACCTGGATCGCCAGTTGCTGTTGTTTTTTGTTGTTGTTTTCTTTCCACGCACTTTACCCCCAAAACCAGCAACAGTGACTGAAAAAAGCAGCAACTTGGCTATCTAGGCAGATTGATGGGTATGGCTCACAGTTAAACCATCAGGGGACCAAGGTTTTACAGTATTTAGTCCATGTTTCCATGTACCACCGTTCCATTTCAGGTACCTATTTTTACCCACAGCCAGATTATCTTTACACAAAGAGACTAAAGTCCAGCACCTGCACCTCGTGTGCGGGGATTTCTCTGGCCCACAGCGTGACCACAACCACAAGACCGAAACGGAACTCGATCGGGAGTGAGTTGCGGGGGAAGAACCAAAAAAAGGGTCGGTATTTACCCTGGAAAGACCCGGTTTCCCCGAAAAGATCCCCAAGAACGAATAGTTCAACCCTCAAACTACCCGCAAAAACCACCTCATTTGGGGGCCATGACATTTTTTATCCTCCATTTGCTTAAGACCCCTGGGAAAAACACAAATGATTCCAGTGATAGATTCTCTCTCTAAAACCAACAGGGAAGAACACAAAATATTCATTTCAGCAAATGGAAGTTATGGGTCGTTCGAGGTCCAGGCATCCTCCTGGAGCTGAGGGAAGCGTCAGACGAGCGACGAGTGACCCACGCCTCGACTTGAGGCACCAACTGCTCCCAGTACTCCTTGTGGAGCTTCCGCCTCCGGCCGGCTTCAACCAGAACCACCGGGGTTTCAGGGGTTTTGTGGTGTCTGCCCGTTCCAAATACCACCCTAACGAGGGCACATGGACCCCCTAAGGTGTCGTTTTGTTAAGCGAATTCCCGTTTTTGAGGATGCATACGTCCTCTTTTTGTACAGTGTTGACACCCTAATCTACCTTGGGGGAGGGTGGGCTTGGGCTTGGTTTAGGGTTGGTTTACTTGGGGCATGGAACCCAAACTGGAATGCCAAAGGGGTCCAACCCTGAAAGGGTCACCTTTTCAAGGGTCATGACCGAGCTTCAAGGGCCCTCAAAAGGAATCCTGAGCCCTCGCATGAACAACAGCTCCCCGCCTTTTTCAGCTAACCCCAAACACCTCTTCGGATACGGAACGTCTCGTTGGAAACCAGCAAGAATGTAAGACGTGGCTTCCAGTTGGTTCAGACCCCTGGACAAAAGAACAAATTGACCAGTCATAGATTCCAACTTTAAAACCAACAGGGGAAAATGAAAAAAAACAGTTCAGCCAATGGAAGGTGGATACCCCGCAACCCGCGTCCCTCGAACGACGCTCGCTCGCGACTGCCAGTCGCGGGTTCGGAACCCCCACACGCCGTGGCACTTCCGGAAGTCTAGGTCCTCCGACCGGATCCGAAGAAACGAGTCCGGCAATTGTTGTGTTTTCGCCTTTTTTTTCTAGAACAGGGCTCCTGGATAGCCAGGCTGCTGTTTTGTTCGGTCACTGGTGCTGGTTGGGGTAACTTTGGCCTTGGTTGCCCTCGAGGGACCCGAAAGAACGACGACCAAAAAAAAACGGAGTTCAGCAACCGCAGCTTTAGGCAATGACCCACCCGGATAGCCAAGTTGCGATCAGTTGTTTTCAGTCACTGTTGCTGGTTTTTGGGGAAAAGTGTATGGACAAAAAAACTGTAACTGGCGATCCAGGTATGTTTCTTTCTTTTTGTTGTCTGTTTCTTGGAAAACTCTGGTGAACACCTCCTTTTTTCGCAAAGGGTTGACATCATACCCTGAAAAAGGTTGGCATTGTGTGTAGGGGGTGGATTTCGGGGGAAGCCTATTCTTGGGCGCGCTCGAAAAACACACCTCCAAATCTTGGCAGGGATCTGGTTGACTCAATGCAAAAGACTTGACTTCGCAAGTCCCGACCTGTCATGCGTGCCATGGGTCAAAATCCCGCACCCCCAGTGAACATCCCAATCCCCACTAAAATCCCGGTTCTAAGATGGGTGGTGAATTCACCATTTCCAAAATGAGATCAACCAAAACGGTTTTGACCGGCCATACGAGCCGCCATGGTCCTCTTTGGAATCTCGTGAGAGACATGGTTCCCGCGGTGTCAGCCGGGATCGGCAAACGGTCCAAACATCCAGTACCCGCTCCGCGGGCCGCAACAAGGCGCCTGAAATGACCTGGATCGCCAGGTGCGAGCGCTTTTTCATTTTTTTCCATGCACTCCAAACCCCGAAAACCGATCGCAACCGTGACTGAAAAAAGCGATCGCAACTTGGCTATCTAGGGAGGTACAAAATCCCTGAACAACTTGTTACAGCCATTCCCCTTGTTTAAGGGCAATTGCTTTGAGGGCCCAAGTAAACCAACGAAAAAAGGAGAGAGACTCGCCACCAGCGATTGAGGGTCCCAGTTTGGGCATGGTTCAAGCGGCCGAACTCTCGGCATGGTTCGGGACCCGGGCAAAAAAATACAATATGTCCAGTAGTGATAGATTCCCTTTAAAAAAACAGTATGGATCCCATTTTTTCACCAGCGAGCGCACCAGCGACTCGCCACAGGCTCAGGTAACCCCGAGTTGGTGGTTTGGATTGGTGGTTTGGATTTGGCTTTGAATTTCTGGTTCTTGTCGAGGGTCAATGGGAAACCACCCCGTGAGACCACCAAGCCACCACTCCAAACCACCAATTAGAGGGAACATGACAAGCAGGGCCAGGGTTCCATTGTTTGACAACCCCAAAGTAGACTCAAACCCAGGGATTTCCCTTTTGGGGAAATCAACCACTGCGTTTAAGTCTACTAGGTCCTCCAGTAGTAGGGAGGTTAGAATAAGGGTACCAACTTTTTTCTATAGTCTACTTTAGTAGGGGAACCCTCCCCCGAAAAAGGGCAAAAGGGCACTACTGGGACACACACACACACACACACACACCCAAGTGCCATGGACACTTAGAGTCGATGTTGCAGCCTGGAACCCTAAGAAACCAATACCCTAAATGAAAGAAGGTTGCAAAATAGACCCTAAGTGTCCATCATGCCTCCCCCTCCCCCAACCCCCCACCCCTCCAACCCCAGGACTCCTCCAGGAACCCGGAGAGGCGCTGCAGGCGGTGCCCCTTCTGCTCCGCCTGCTGCTCCCGCTCCAAGGCCGCAGCCAGCAGCACCTCTGCGCTCGCAACCGCCAGCCGCGTGGCCGCGTGGGTGGATTCAAACGCCAGGAAACGCATGCCCCGACCCACATTGGAGGATGACAATCCTGAACTTGGTTGACGTCGGAAGGGCAGCAAAAACTGATTTTTTAGCAGCTAAGTGGGGATGTCAGCCACTAAACCGCAATGATGATGATGATGATGATGATGATGATGATGATGATGATGATGATGATGATGATGATGATGATGATGACGATGATGAAAAGTAAACACTGGCGGTGACATCATAGGTGTCCCTAAGAGGTTGGAAATAGATGAGCGTTCAGCTGGATATCCCTGGTATAGATGAGAAAAAAACACCAGGGTTTACCAGGAATCACCCTCTATTTTTCGAGCAAAACAACCAAAAAGGACACCTATGGCACGTGAGAGAAGTGGTGTCTTGGATGTTGGGATGTGGCAGGGTCCGGGGGGGTGGGGGGTTCCCTAAAACTGCCTAGGGAACTGTAAGCAACCCTACAGGTCTCAACTAACTGCCCATCCCTCAATTTGCATACCTGGAGTCTCCTTCTGCCCCCTAGAAAAAGGGGTCATGACCCGAATCTTAATTTGTTGAGTCTGACCAACTATTTTTTAAGGGTCCTTAGAAAGACTCCAGGTACCATCTTAGGGTTCCATACTTGGATGTTCGATTCGCCAAGTTTAGTTCATAGTTCACCACCTGGGTTATAACACACTGACTGGGTGAACCCCATTGAAGGAGGCGTGTGCGTGTGTTATAACCCAGTGGAAAAGAACGCCGATGGGCGATCCAAGCGCAACCGGGCAAAATCATTTCCCGGGCCCTTGGGTTCGTCCGTGCAAATGTAAAACCAGATATAGCCAAGTTGCGGCTTTCGCCTTTTTTCAGTCACTGTTGCGATCGTTTTGTTTTTTGTTCAGGGGTTTTGAGTGCATGGGGAAAAAAAAGAAGAAAAAGCAACTGGCGATCCAGGCAGACAATCAGGGTCTTGAACTGCTCTTGTCCGAGAGAGTTGCTCGGGGTTCTGCATTGGAGAACTCCTTATCCTGGCCCGGGAGCCTCCAACTTTTTTTTGGTGTGCCAACCAGATTCGATTTGACCAAATGTGTGTCTGAGTCACTGAAGGGAGAAGGTTGTTTGAGAAACCACCACCTAGATCGCCAAGTTGCCGCTTTCGCGTTTTTCAGTCACTGTCGCTGGTCCCAGCAAAACATTATCTTTTTTGCCTGGTTAGTGGAAAATAAAGGGACCCCAAAAAAGCAAAAAAAGAAAACAAAAAGGGGAGCTAATTCCGGGGAAGTTTGGGGGTTTGAGTGCATGGAAAAAAGTGAAAACGCCACGAGAGCGATGGCAGGCAGAAAGAAATTTGGTCCTTCCGGGCAGGATGTGGTGTGCATTGGGTTCCGAAGTCATGACCCAAATGGGTATGGCTCAAAATTAAACAGGAGGGGTTACGCAGGTTTTGGTTCATGTTTCCATTTACCAGGGTTCCATTTTGGCACCGGTGTTTTGAGCCACAGCCAAATAAGCCCCGTGGGGAGTGAGCACTAGTAGCAACCTCAAGGATCCAACTTCCAACTTAAAATTGGGTTAAAACTCTGGTTGGTGAATTGTGTGTTGCGTTTTTGTTTTGTTTTTGCTTTTGGTGAACTTTGTGTTGCTCTCTTTTTCTTCTTTTTCTTCCGGTAGCTCTTTCGGGACCAGGAAGCCGTTCTCCTTGCTTCTGGGAACCTTGGCTGCCAAAGTCAAACACAGGATCCACTCGCCCCCCCCCCCCCACCATAGGGCTCCTTTTTAAGGGAAATAGATGGATATCCCCTGTATACAGCCTGTAGGTGAGAAAAAAAAAAAAAAAAAACGGGTTTCCCGATGGGAATCGCCGGACCTAATTTTCTATAGCAAAACTCCAGCTTAAGTCAACACCTGGCCCGGAGGCTTGGAGTCGGTGACTTGAAACCGGTTCAATGCTCGGACCGGCCAAACCGATCCTTAAAGATCCGGATGCAATAGAACATTGCAACTCACTCACTCACTCACTCAAGTTCGCACGGGGCCTCTGTGGGCGCAGCTGATTAGGCCCAAAACGGCAACAGCAATTGCAACTTGCAAATGGTGGGTTCAATCCAACGGTATTTTGGAAAGGAAAAGCCACATGTAACTCAAATGGATGGTTGCAAAATGTTTGTATCTTTTTTTTGGAGCCCTGCTTAGGACGGCAGCTTTTCGGTTACCTGATCAGACCCTTATCAACTCCCATTGCCATGGAACCTCACTATCGCTCGTTCCTTCCATCTTGACAGTTGTATCCAACCCCCCCATCCTTCCGGATTCTTCCATTTGCTTAAGCCGCCTGGAAAAAAGACATACTTCCAGTAGCGATAGGTTGCCTTGGGGAAAATACAAACATATTCATTTCGGCAAATGGAAGGATTGCGAAGGCCTCTCTCTTCGGGAACTTCTTGGGTTTGCAAACCAAATCAGTAGTTCGATCCAAATTCCCGGCCCCCCGGGCCTCCTCCACTCAGAGGAAAACAACTTAAGGTAGGCTAGAAACGCAGGGAACGCAACCACATCCAGTTGCCCTGACCATGGTTATAGCCTGACCCCTCCAAAATCCGCAATAAAAGAGAACATATGTCCAGTAGTGATAGATTCCCAAGCTTAAAACGTTACAAGGTAAAAGCTTCTATAAGCAAAAGTCAGCAAACGGAAGGGTAAGTCTACAGTGAGGTTGAAAATCTTGTTTGCCAACTCGCAGTGCCGTGAGGGGCCAAGGACCCCGCAAGCCAAATCCGCTACTGGATTCAACCCGTCCTCCAAAACCATCTTCAGCCATGCAAACCCGGACCAAACATCCGTCAAAAGCCACACGAAAACCTTCAGATTTGGATGGCTGGAGCCAACTGAAGCGCCTATGTCGCACATGTGGCGATCTAAGTCTGGTTGCCCCATGGGTTTTTGGGGGGAAACCTGGCGCAACCATGCCGAAAACAGGGTCAATCAACTTCGGGGAGCAGCAGAGGTGTGCGCGGTGGGTGTGTGTGCGTGTGTGTGTGTGTGTGTCCCGAAAGTGAAGAACCCTCCCAATCGAGCAGAGAAATCCTGGTGGCAGCAGTCACCAGAGCGAAGCTCCCAGGCCTTTGTAAATGGAACCACCTGGATCGCCAGGTGCGATCGCTTTTTTCCATGCACTTTACCCCCAAAACCAGCAACAGTTACTGAAACAAGCGATCGCAACTTGGCTATCTAGGCAAGTCTTGCATTTCGGGGTGGGAGCTTTTTATGGAATTTGGCGTATTTGACCCCGGATTTTCCCGGCGGTTTTTGTTGGGTCCTCACAGAGAATTCATTGATTTTGGCCGAGGAATTGGTCGCGATGGGTAGCCGTCGATTCGGCCTCCCAACCTTCCGCCTTAGGTGCCAAAAACGTGGCTCGGTTTCAAACCAAAACTTTACCCTCCCACAAACAGAATGAACCTTTCGCGCCGGAACCGGTTGGATTCTTTGTTCGCCCAAACCAGGAATCGGCTTTCCTGAGGTGAAAACAAATGAGCTCCCTGTCCGAAAGGCGAACCTTTCGGATGTTTGTTACCTCTGGTTCCGAAGATTTTTGTTACACCGCCTTGTGTGAAAGTACGGGTGGGGAGGGGTTCAAATCATTTCTGGAGAGCAATAAGGGGTCGGATCCGGGGCCCGCGAGCCCTCAAACTGGTGGGGAAAGCTGAGGTTTTTGGGGTGGGAAGGCAGGAATCCTTTTTGGGGAACCTCTCGGCTCACTCCAATTGATGCCCAGTGGATTTCCATGTGAAAAAAAAGGCATCCTTTTTGGGTTGGTTGAGTTTAAAAGGGAGCCCTTCCCAAAAAAAGAAGAGGAAAAAAACGGGCGCCACAAAGTTCACTTCCACCAGGGGTGCCAAGGCACATACCCCTTTGACATACCCTGGCATATGAACCCAAAAGGCCTGATGTGCATACCATATCCTCTCCCCAAAAGCATTATTTTCCCCTTGTACAGTGGGTTGGAAACTAGGGAAGCAAAGGGATATGAAGGGTATGTACTTCCCACCCTTAGATTTTGGGGAACCTCTCGGGTAAGCCCGAGTTTGTGATTGTCAACAAGTCCGCCTTGGTTTCCAGAATGCAACTCTATCCAGCATGTACTCCAGGATAAGCTGCCTAAAAACGCCGCCAGCGCCAACACGCTTACTATGCAGCAAAATGCAATGGTGTGGCGCCTGCTCGGTCACCCTCTCTTTCTCAGCACCGGCATCCAGCAAGCACTGCACAACTCCCTGATGGCCTTGCTGTGAGGCAACATGCAAGGGTGTGACGCCATCTTTGCTCGCCTTCTCTTTGTCAGCACCGGCATCCAGCAAGCATTGCACAACTGCCTGATGGCCATGCGCTGCCGCATAATGCAATGGTGCAGCACTGGCGCCATTTTTGCTTGCCTTGTCTTTGTCAGCACCGGCATCCAGCAAGCATTGCACAACTGCCTGATGGCCATGTGCTGCCGCAACATGCAATGGTGCAGCACCACTGTTGGCAGCCTTGTCTTTGTCAGCACCGGCATCCAGCAAGCACTGCACAACTCCCTGATGGCCCTGCTCTGAAGCAAAATGCAAGGGTGTGGCGCCATCTTTGCTCGCCTTGTCTTTCTCAGCACCGGCATCCAGCAAGCATTGCACAACTGCCTGATGGCCATGCGCTGCCGCAACATGCAATGGTGCAGCACCACTGTTGTAAGCCTTGTCTTTGTCAGCACCGGCATCCAGCAAGCACTGCACAACTCCCTGATGGCCCTGCTGTGAAGCAACATGCAAGGGTGTGGCGCCATCTTTGCTCGCCTTGTCTTTGTCTGCACCGGCATCCAGCAAGCACTGCACAACTCCCTGATGGCCCTGCTCTGAAGCAAAATGCAAGGGTGTGGCGCCATCTTTGCTCGCCTTGTCTTTCTCAGCACCGGCATCCAGCAAGCATTGCACAGCTGCCTGATGGCCATGCGCTGCCGCAACATGCAATGGTGCAGCACCACTGTTGGCAGCCTTGTCTTTGTCAGCACCGGCATCCAGCAAGCACTGCACAACTCCCTGATGGCCCTGCTCTGAAGCAAAATGCAAGGGTGTGGCGCCATCTTTGCTCGCCTTGTCTTTGTCAGCACCGGCATCCAGCAAGCACTGCACAACTGCCTGATGGTCCCCGTCTGCAGCATTGTGTAATGGTGTAGCACCAATGTTGCTTGCCTTGTCTTTGTCAGCACCGGCATCCAGCAAGCACTGCACAACTCCCTGATGGCCCTGCTCTGAAGCAAAATGCAAGGGTGTGGCGCCATCTTTGCTCGCCTTGTCATTGTCAGCACCGGCATCCAGCAAGCACTGCACAACTCCCTGATGGCCCTGCTGTGAAGCAACATGCAAGGGTGTGGCGCCATCTTTGCTCGCCTTGTCTTTGTCTGCACCGGCATCCAGCAAGCACTGCACAACTCCCTGATGCCCATGCGCTGCCGCACCATGCAATGGTGCAGCACCATTGTTGGCAGCCTTGTCTTTGTCAGCACCGGCATCCAGCAAGCACTGCGCAACTGCGTGCTGGCCTTGGCATGCAGCAATGAACAACGGTGATCTGCCCAAATTGTCTGCCTTCTCTGTGTCAGCACCGGCATCCAGCAAGCACTGAACAACTTCCAAATGGCCGTTTGCAGAAGCGTTACACAAAGGAGTCTTGTGTGAGTTTGTGTCAGCAGCATCGGGATCATGAGGCTTCTCCAACAGCTCTAGCACAAGTTGCGCGTCGCCCCTTTCCGCCCCTTGCAGCAAGTCAACACCATCTGCCAAACCCTCTGCTCCACCTGTGACTGCTTGAACATATTGCCGTTTAATGGCCGTAAGGCACTCAGCATTATCCCACAGACTCTCTGGCCCCAACTTGACTATGCCACTAGCCAAGGCGAGCCGCCTGAAATTCCGCAAGCACAATCCTTGCTTGGCCAGTGTTCATTGGAAAACCCCACACACACACACACAAAACTACCATACATGTTGTTGAGTTAGTTGATCCGCAATGAACACGCACAAAAAAAGGAAGCAGGGACATGGGGAAACGAACAACTGGCATCATTCAGACTGTTGATATTGTTTGATCTTCATGCAACTCGAAGCACGGCAGGAAATTCAAGTACCAATAGGTAGCTGGGAATCTCTTCGCCAAATGGCGTCGCAAGGCGTCGAACAAGCAGTCCCCATCATCATTTCCGCGCAGCTCTTCCCACACGGAATACTCCTCCGTCGTCATCACATCTGTGCCATCTACCAAGCGAACGCACGCCATGAGTGAATTGGACACGCACGAATTTCGAGCCATGTGCCTCAGCATGCAAGTGAGAGACACTGTATCAACCATGTTATGATGACCCTCAATGGGTTCCATCGAATGGGCTCCTTTCAGATGCAAAAAGGATTGCCGTTTGGTGCAAGCTACCAATTTATGAGAACCCCTTCAATGGGTAAGGATGGGTTCCCCCAAACCCGCTTGGGTACAAAGCATGCTTGAGACCGCCTGCCTTGAAATGGCCAGGGACCAACCCTTTATTGCCGCCCAGCCGCCCAAGCAAAAGGATGGACAATAGCTATGAAAAAACACGGCTCAAAACAAAACATCTACTTCAACCCATACTTCGCGGCGAAACAAATAAGCATTTATAAGATCAAACATGTTTTGCATGGATGGTTCTTTCGGGTGTGATCGGTACTTGCCTGACCGTGGGCAACCAACATCCAAACATCTGAACTGGGCTGTCCTCAACTCGGCTGCAAGTTCATCAAGCAAGTGCTTTGAACCACCGAACCAACTATAAAAAGCGGAGAAAAAACAAACTAAGCTGAACCAAAAGCGAAGAAAAACAAAAAAGAAGGCTAAGTTGGACCCAAAGTGATCAACAGGCTCTCCACTCTGCTCCGAAAAGACCGCCCGCTTTGCCGCCCTTTGCCCGGCGCCTCCAGGCGCGTCACCCGCTGCTGGCTGCTGAGGTGAGGCGCCTCCTCCGGTGGGCTCGGCGCCAGGTATCTTCTTTTCGGATGTCGCCTTTCAGACACACCCACCAGCACCCACGTGGCTCAAAATTCAAGAACCGGGGTTACGCAGATTTTAGTCTATATTTCCAGGTACCAAGGTGCCGTTTTGGTACCTTTTGTTGAGCCACAGACAGGTCTTACCTGCCCTTTTCACCCACCCAGATAGCCAAGTTGCTGCATTGGTTTTTTGGGGGGTCTTGAGTGCATGGAAAACTAGACCACGGTTGGCCCGAAAGCAGAACATCGCAAGCGAGGTCGGCCCAACGCTGCAGGATGCGTTCTTTTTCCCTACACGAAGCATTCGTGAAGCAAGCGCGAGAGAGCACCAGGCAAGGTGCTCTGCGCAAACTGGTCGGTGCAAGTTGGTCTGCGCAAGTTGCTCTACGCAAGTTGCACTGTGCAAGTTGCTCTGCGCAAGTTGCTCCGCGCAAGTTGCTCCGGCAAGTTGGTCCCTGCAAGTGGCTCCCTGCAAGTTGCTCTGTGCAAATTGCGCTCCCTGCAAGTTGCTCTGTGCAAGCTGCTCTGTGCAAGTTGCTCTGTGCAAGTTGCTCTGCGTAAGTTGCTCTGCGCAAGTTGCTCTAGGCAAGGCGCTCTGCGCAAACTGGTCGGTGCAAGTTGGTCTGCGCAAGTTGCTCTGTGCAACTTGCTCTGCGCAAGTTGCTCTGCGCAAGTTGCTTTAAAATGCAAGTTGCATCTTGCGACGCCCGCCCGCGGACCAGGGAGGAATCGAACCCGCGACCCGCCGGTTCCGGGAGCAGGCGCGCGAACCACGAGACAACTCCCGAGGACCAGTTCGAACAACAAAAGTCGCAAAAACCTCGAGTTTTTGCCCGCACGCTCGCAAAAAACCATGGGTTTTTGCACCTCGACCACGCCGATCCCCGCAGAGGGTTGCGCGAGCACCGCAGAAATCGCAAAAAACCATGGGTTTTTGCACCTCGACCACGCCGATCCCCGCAGAGGGTTGCGCGAGCAGCAGAAATCGCAAAAAACCAGTGGGTTTTTGCACCTCGACCACGCCGATCCCCGCAGAGGGTCGCGCGAGCAGAGAAATCGCAAAAAACCATGGGTTTTTGCACCTCGACCACGCCGATCCCCGCAGAGGGTCGCGCGAGCAAGAAATCGCAAAAAACCATGGGTTTTTGCACCTCGACCACGCCGATCCCCGCAGAGGGTCGCGCGGGAACTTTAGAAATCGCAAAAAACCATGGGTTTTTGCACCTCGACCACGCCGATCCCCGCAGAGGGTCGATTTTCGTGTAGTGTCGTCGGCACTACCCCGCCGCCCTAAGAAGAGATTTTAACTCCTCGCAAGTCACTTGCACTTGACTCCTTGCACTTGCAACTTGCACTTGACTCCTTGCTTGTTTCAAGGAGTCATTGCAAGCAGTCATTGCAAGGAGTCATTGCAAGGAGTCATTGCAAGGAGTCATTGCAAGGAGTCATTGCAAGGAGTCATTGCAAGGAGTCATTGCAAGGAGTCATTGCAAGGAGTCATTGCAAGGAGTCATGAGAGCCATTGCAAGTTGCAAGGAGCCAAGCGCATGGAGTCAAGTGCAAGTCGCAAGTGCACGGAGTTAAGTGCAAGTTGCAAGTGCAAGGAGCCAAGTGCAAGGAGCCAAGTGCAAGGAGCCAAGTGCATGGAGTCAAGTGCAAGTTGCAAGGCATGGAGTCAAGTGCAAGTTGCAAGTGCAAGGAGTCAAGTGCAAGTTGCAATCCTTGCAATGACATGACTCCTTGCAATGACTCCTTGCAATGACTCCTTGCAATGACTCCTTGCAATGACTCCTTGCAATGACTCCTTGCAATGACTCCTTGCCATGACTCCTTGCAATGACTCCTTGCAATGACTCCTTGCAATGACTCCTTGCAATGACTCCTTGCAATGACTCCTTGCAATGACTCCTTGCAATGACTCCAATGACTCCTTGCAATGACTCCTTGCAATGACTCCTTGCAATGACTCCTTGCAATGACTCCTTGCAATGACTCCTTGCATTGACTTTCATGATGATGATTCCTTGCAATGACACCTTGTAATGACTCTCATGAGAACAACTCAAGTGAACCCAGCGGAAGAACCCTTCGCCATGCTTTCGGGAAAAGCGATCGCACCTGGCGATCCAGGAAGACACACTAATTTGATTGCCTCACTTCCTGAATGGATCCAAGACAAGTCCAGACTCCGCACCTCCGCACCCCAAATAAAGGGATGTGAGTTGGTCTTTGGCACCCCTTGAGCACATGCTTGGATCTTCAACCCAGTATCCATTGATGGTGCCTTCTTGGAGATGAACCAAAAAAGAGGCCTGTTCATACCCCTCCCAGGAGGCATCCCCAAAGTCGGCTGGAAACCAGGGGGTATGTACTTCCCACCCCTAGAGAGGCGCTGCCCCAGGAAACCGAGTGCAGAACTACCCAGAGGCTCCGATTTCAATGTACTTGGGGCCCGATTTTTCACAGCCAAACTTTGAGAATTCAGGGTGTCCAATGCTTCGGGGTCGAGGTCTTCCATTGAAAGCCGAAGCCGGTCGGAGCCTCTGGGTACCCATTTGAGTGGCAATACCGTACTAAAATGCTACTTCCCATCGAGTTGGTCCAAAAAAAGCTCAACCAAACTTTTTGAAAACACCAAAATAGTCCACCTGGATCGCCAGTTGTTGTTGTTTTTTGTTCCATGCACTCAAAACCATCCAAAAACCAATCGCAACGGTGACTGAAGAAAGCTTTTTCGCAACTTGGCGATTTTTAGGCAGATTCAAAAAGAGACGAGCGTCCCTTTAACGGAACTGAGCTCAAGTGAGCCTGCCAAACGGCTCGGCGAAGTCCGCCGAACGCACCTGAAAAAAAATTCCCCAACTCCACTTAGCAATGTAGTAAGGGTAGCTCGGCTATGACCCATGCAACAAACACCTCCAACATAGGGGCTCACCAAATCATTAGGTCATATGGCCATGGGTCAAAAGCCAAATCGAGCCCCCAGTGAACATCCCAACCCAACCACTAAAATCCCGACCAAAATGGGTGAAAACGGATTTCACAACCACAGCCATATCCCAGGTATTGGCCAGCTAACTTAACGAATCGAACATCCAAGCACCTAGATAGCCAAGTTGCGATCGTTGTTGTCAGTCACTGCTGCTGGTTTTTTGGGTAAAGTGCATGGCAAAACAGCAACTGGCGATCCAGGCACGGCTTTTTGCACACTTGGGAGTTTGGACATGGGTGAAAAAGCAGTCAAAGACCTGGGTGCTGGTGGGTGTGTCTGAAAGGGGACACCCTTTCAAAATGGTGTGGGGTTGCTCTTTTTGGTTTCCCTTTGTCAGCCTCAAACCTTGGGCAACCTTAAGCAGGCAGACCCATTTCTGGCTGGGTGCCTGCACTTTCGGGTGCCAGGTGCTACCCCCCATCCCGTGTCCCGGCGCGGCCTCCTCGCGGTCCTCAGCCTCAGGCTCCTGGAGACCGAACGGAAAGGAGGCAACACCCTGAAGCCGAATCATGGGGTGCAGTCCTGTTTTTTTTTTTTAATATACAGCGTCATTTGACCAGGTCCTTCAGATTTGACAGGTTAGAGTATGTTGGTACCCGATGTTTGTCTTTTTGCTCTATTTTAGTAGGGGAACCCTCCCAAAAAAAAGAAGGCAAAAGGGCACTACTGGGGGACCAAGTTGAGGAGCCCTCTCTTCCAAAGTTTGTTCATGGTTTGGCTTTGACAAGCGAAAGCAAACCTGCAGTTCTCTGGGCCGAGGAGAGGATTTTCGCTCTTCATCTCTGCAGGTTTAGGAATCTTGAACATTTCGTGTGGCTTCCCAAAAGTGCACAGGCAACATGAACATGTAGGCAAGCTAAAAGCACAGGAAACGACCAATACCAGCCAAAAGAAGTCATTTCTTGTTGGGTCCTGAAAAACGTCTTGGTTGACTCACGTTTCCGAGGCCGTTTCCGAGGCCGGATATGCCGGAAACGGAAACAAACCGGAAGGGCCACCCAGCTGCACCCAGCCCGCCGAACAGGGAGGTTTGGATATCCTTCAAGCGAAGCACGGCCGTTGCAGGCCACGAATTGCTTGGTTGCGATCAAAAATTGTCATCTAGGCTGAAGAAAACAGCTTCTCCACAAAGAAAAGCACAAGGAGCTTCCCGAAAGTTGAGAAGGATTGCCCGCGATTCCCGGGCGCCAAAGAAGCAACTCATCCGCAAACGAGGCCCAAGGGCGTCGGAGCCCCCGTCTCCTCCAGCACAGCCTTGGAGCTGTCCAGCGACAGCCTGCGTGAGTCAGGTTAAGTTGCTAGGGGATGACGCAGAAAATTGAGTTGGGGGCAGGCGGGGTTCATGTCCACCAACCGCCTCGCTTGTGGCGAGGCGGCCCCGCTTGCGACACACGCAGCGATCTGCGCGCCGGGCGCGCCGGTTGCTAGTGTATCCCCTGAGTGCCAGCGCGCAAAAGCCGCCGGCTTCTGGCTGTGGTGTTTTCCTTCCCCGTGGAAACAGGCAAGCCCTGAATCCGACAAGCTCGTTCCGGCCCCATTGGCACGCGCCGAGCACGTTGTTCATCGAAATGCCACTGACAAGCCATGAGTAACTTGGCGCAATCCTACAACTTTGAGGGTCCTGGGGCTACGCAGAAAGCCGCACCACACCCGAGTGAGGCCCCAATCTTGATCAGGACTCTCAGGAACGAAAGGTTGGTCAAAACGGCACATCCCTCATAGCCAGCATTCGCTATGATGCAACCCTCGCATGCCCATAAAACCATGGGCGCTGGCGTTCCTTGTCGTTGCCTCTTGGGGTATATTAACCCTTGTTCTGCCACAAGCAGGGCACCCTTGGCCTGGACAAAAATGGGAGAGGCCAGGGAAATCATTCCAGGCTATGGGCCGTAGGGACAGCATGAAGTGCATCCTGAAACCCTTTTCACCTTCCTCAACCCTCCAAACTACCCCTTAAACAAGGGAATACATCCCAGAACTTTATAACCATATCCCGAATTTGGGGAGAATTCGAGGCTCAGGTTTTGGGCTATGCTTAGTCCAGGCCCCCTACAGGTTCACCCATTTCCAGCTGCGTTTCGAGGGACCAGCGAGTGAATCCTGAAATTTTTCCCAAGGTCACCCACCGGGTCCCTTTGCTGGAGTCGGAGCGCAAAAAAACACCGCAGCCTGCCCTAAGGATTCGAACGAAGGGTTTTGGAGTGAAGGGTTGCTTTCCGCTCCTCTGCTAAAAGCATAACTTTTAGTGGTTTAATGGAAAACCGAATAGTTGGCAAAAAGTTAAAGTCCTAGCATCCATATGCACCAAAGAGTAGGCAGGCTGCTTAGTAAGTTAGAAATCAGGTTTTTTTTCCCACCGAAGCCATGTCCTCGGAGATAATTGAAGGGCGACTAATTAGCCACTCCCCTGACGTAGTTGCTGGTTTTCTCAGACTAGGAGTTCACATTCCATCCAGCATTGGAGTGAGTTGCTCGTCTTTGGTAGGACGCGGGCCCCCCAAGCTGGGCTGCCCTCAGATTCCCGGGCTAAATGGAAACTACCACTAAACACTAAAAGGCTAAAAGGCTAAAAGGGGAAGGAACCGGATGGCTGGGAGCCGCCAAGTTTAACGCCTCTACCATGCCGAAGAGGGTTTGGCCTGGCAAAACTCTTTGGGGTGGATTTGACACATTTTTAGGTTGGAGTTTGCTGAGTGGACCAAAGAAGAACCCCCCCCAAACTTGTTTGATTTACCACTGCTGAAACTCAGGAAGTCTATTGGCCAGGACTCAAACAGTGTGGCAAGAACATGGGGTGGTTGATAATCAGCCAAGGAAGGCTACACCTCCAGGTAAGGAGCCTCTTACTAAGTGCCTGGACCCTCAAACTACCAACTCAAAAATGAGATTTCACCAACCATCATGTTGAGTTGCAATAACCCACTTTTAAATTGGAATTTTACAGGTCCAGGTCTCTTGGTTTTCCTGGTTTGGTCAATGAACAAGTCCTGTAGTTGGAACGGCTGAAGCCCTGCGTATACTCTCACTTCCGATCAAGTGAGCTGGCCAAGAAAAGTAACCAAACTTTTACTAGGTCCTCCAAATTTGAGAGGTTAGAATAAGTTGGTACCCACTTTTTTCTGGTTTGTCTATTTTAGTTGGGTTCGGACCCCTCCAAAGAAGGGGAGAGAAGGGCCCCAATTGCTGGGGGACCTAGATATGGGAATGCATGGTCCAGAGCCAAAAGGCGAACGGCAAGTACTATAGACACCACCAATCCCCGCTCGCTCCAGGGAGAGGTTCACTCGTCCGGCTTTCTTGTCGGCAGTTACCTGGGGGGAGTCGAAACTCAAACCAACCTCAGAGACCACACCAACAAAGGCCAGCAGCCTCAAACTACCCGCAACAAGTTGAACCTGATTTCGGGCTGCAATGTAATTCAGGGTGGCATGGCCCTGTTTCTTCCGTTGGAGAAGAGCTCAACTCAGATGCCCAGTGGGCCGCAAGCAACAAATTGGGCACCCTTTTTTGGGCTGGTGGAGTTTAAAGGAATCGGAACCCTGGATCGCCAGGTGCGGTTGTTGTTTTTTTCCATGCACTTTACCCCCAAAACCGATCGCAACAGTGACTGAAAAAAGCGATCGCAACTTGGCTATCCAGGACCCTTATCCAAACAAAAAAAAGGAAAAAAGGGCACTACTGGGCAACAGAGTCAAGGGTGGCTCTTGATCAAACCATGCGACGCCAAAAACTGCGAAACCCGTCTCGCGCCCTTTGGCGCGCTCGAAGCTCCGGCCTGAGGCGCGGAGGGGAAGCGCCAGGCGGACCCTCAAACTACCCCTAAAAATGGTTTTAGCAACCACCTACTCGGTTGCTTTCTGCTCCCCTGCTAAAAGTTTAACTTTTATAGTAGTTTAGTGGAAAACCCATTAGTTGGCAAAAAGTTAAAGTCCTACCAGCCAAGCAAAATGCACCAAAGACCTAGATAGCCAAGTTGCGATCGTTTCTTTTTTCAGGCACTGTTGCGATCGGTTTTTGGGGTAAGGTGCATTGGAAAAAAAAACAACTGGCGATCCAGCTACACTTGCAAAAAGCGCCGACTTCGAGAAGAAAAAACGCCGACGCGAAACCAAAAAAAAAAGGATTGCAAGAAACGTCAAAGCTCCGCCGAGTTAGCGCCGAAATCCGCCCAATGTCCCATCACGCTTTCGGGGAAGGAAAACCGCGACATCAAAACGCCGACAAGTGACAAAAACGCCGAAACGCAAAAGCAACAAAAACGACAAGGCGCCCTTTTGCGAAACGGCAAAAAAGTTCAGCCGATTCGAAGATTTAGGTATAGCCCCTAGCCCAGGGTCTCCGGTCAAATGCAACTCCTTGCTTACGAAGGGGTTAGGGCCATTTTAAATTGGAAGACTTTGGTTCCCTAGTTGCTTTTTGAGGTAGAAAACGGTGTAAAGCTGGTTCGATCGAATTTGAACCAATAGGTTTTCTACTCTTTGGTCCACCCCGAATCCCGAATTAAGGTACCACCCAAAAAAGAGATCTCGTGCTTTCGGTTGTGCTTTCGATTGGTATTAAAAATGGGCGTTTGAGATCTGCGGGGTCTCTATTGGGCCCGGGTTGTCCGGGCAGTTGGATATAACTTATGCACTGCACGCACACTTACACAAGTTCCGACTCAACGTCTCGGCGACTGCAAGGGGTGCCTACGCGCGCGCAAACGCGTCTTCCTTGCCTACGCGGATGCCTATGCGAGCTGCGCGCCCGTCGTTTTGCTTCACACGAAATGCACTTGGCAGCTCCAAAAAAGCACTTTAACTTTTCAGTACAAGTGTAGTACTCGAGGTGCACCTGGCAGCTGCGGCTTAAATGAGAAGCGCCCGCCCAGAAAGGAACAGATTCACGAATGGGCCTCGAGCCTACGAGCAGCCTACGAAGATGCCTACGTGGACGGAGGCAGTTCTGGCACAGCTCTATATTCCATGCCTACGCGGACGCCTGCAAATGGTTGCCATCATGGGGGAAACCTAAACCCTGGGGTTCAGTTGCCACCGTTCGAACAAAGGGGGGTTCATACTTCACCACCATTGCTTAGCAAAGGATAAAGAATTGCCATCCCTTGAGCCATTCTTTTCATCGGGGCATGTCATAAGGTCGATTCGCTTGGTGAGTGGCTACAAGCCTTCACAGGGATCACGGGACTACGCTCGCCCCGTTCGCCACAATGGCAAGTACCAGAGCCTTCAAAAAAAAAAAAACGTAAACAAAATGGCTACCTAGATAGCCAAGTTGCGATCGCCTTTTTCAGTTACTGTTGCGATCGGTTTTGGGGGTTTTGAGTGCATGTTCAGGAAGCTTCAACCCAAACCAATCAAGGCTTGCCCTGGCCTACATGAGCACCCAAACCTCTGGAGTTTCTGCTCTACTCTGTTGAAGGTTTTTGGCCCGGATTTGGATTTGGCACAAGCTGTCAGAAAAGTCGTCATCGGCCCCCTTTTTAGGTGCAATTGAAAAGCCTCATTGTCCAAAAGGTCCGTCGAATGGGGCGGTGCAGTTACACCTTGAGACCATGACATGGTTTGATTTTGGGCTGCGAGTGGCTTGATTCTAGGGGTACCTTCCCCATTCTTTCCAGGGAGCCTTCTTTCCAGAAAACCCTCAGAAGCCTAGGGAAAACGGATCCGGTTGTTTGAAAAGAACGATGAACTGCTGGATTGATCTTTGGTGCTGTCTGCTTCTCTCTGAATGCAGCTTGCTGCAAGCCCACAAATCCAAAGGCTGCCAAGTGGTCCGGGGTGGCACAAACCCGGGGAAGCTGAAAGCTAATTACGCGGTCTCTGCCCAGAAATCGGCTCGATCGGCGTGGTTTTTGCGCAGATTTCCAGGAGCCCAGGGTTCAAAATGGGCATTATCACCTGGACTTCTTGCTTCTTTTTCGGGGCGCTACCAAAAAACAACCAAGGGTTCAAATCCCAATCCAAACCACCAACTAAGGCTTCGCCGATCCGCCGATCTTTTCGTCGATCCGATTTTTCTTTTTCGACGGATCCCCGCCGCTGAGCTGGACGAGCTCCTTCCGCAGCAACTTCACCTGGAGACCGCCAAGGTCCCATTTGTCAGTGGCTCAAAAAACCAGTACCAAAATGGAACCCTGCTAACTGCTAAGTGGAAACATGGACCAAAACCTGCGTGACCCCTCCTGTTTGATTTTGAGCCACACCCATTAGGTCAAAACCCAAATCGTACCCCCAGTGAACATCCCAATCTTTGCTAAAATGGACTAAAATGGGTGGAGCACCCGGCCCAAAATGCTGCCATTGGTGTTGACCCATGGCCATTTTGGTTTCAAGGGAAGAGGAAAGCCACAGTGCGGTGCAAGTCATTGAAAATCCCTTTTGGCACGCAAAAGACACCTTTGTGAATCGTAAAAATTGAAAATAGGGTCTTGGTCACCTCCCAAAACACAGGGGCCTTGAAGTCTTGGCAATCGAACTTTGATTCGGGTCGCTTGAAACTCCAAATTTTCTCTGCTTGCGACGGTCAGGCTCAAGGCTTTGCGGGAAAGAAGGCCAATGCCAATGCCCATCCGCCAGTTTGGACCACCTGGATCGCCAGTTGCTATTTGGCTGTGGCTCAAAATTAAACAGGAGGGGCAAACCGCAGGTTTTGGTCCATGTGTCCACTTACCAGGGTTCCATTTTGGAATTCCGGTTTTTTGAGCCACACCCATTTGTGTCATGCACTCAAAACCCCCAAAACCAATTGCAACAGTGACTGAAGAAGCGATCGCAGCTTGGCGATTTCTAGGCAGGTGCTACACGAGGAAATGGAATCACTCAACGGCCATAGCAGCTGCTGTGGGGGCCTTGGAGTCGTTTGGGTCGAGAGGGGTGGGGGGGCGGGTAGGACATGACTCTCGCCTCGGAAGATGTGCCTCGGAAGAACATGGGGTACCTCTCTGCTCGGGGCGCGCCAGGTAGTTTTTTTCGCCAAGCACACGACTTCCCCAGTCATCTCCACATGCCCGCCGTTGGTATTTCTTTTTTTGGGGGTGTTTTCTTTTCTTTTCTCCGAAAGAACCGGGGGTTCCACGAGAAATACCTCATTTCTTAGCACATGGTTGACATCATACCTGAACAAAGTGGGCATTCTGCGCACGGGTCCAAAAAGCCAAACATCCAAAACTTAAAAGGCACCCATCCCCCCCCAAAAGAAAAAAGGGCCCCCCTTAAAATGCACACCCACCCACCCACCGCCCCACCCCCAAAGAAAAAAGACAAAAAAAAAGGAAGGGGGAAAGAAAAGGCGGCCTCCCCGCTCCCCTCCCAAAAAAAAGGTGCCCCGAAACCCAAGGCTTCATCTGCAGACCCCCGCGCGCCTCTTCCATGAGGCTCTCCACCGTTCCGCTGAAGGCCTTGCGGATCAGTCTTTGGGCTTCGGAGCTTCGGAAAAAACCCGACGAGCGCCGGTGATCGCTTTTTCTTATGCACTTTACCACACTTACCATCCAAAAACCGATCGCAACCGTGACTGCAAAAAACGATCGCCACTCGGCGATCTTTGGGCAACTACAAAAAGCAAAAGACATGCGAACGTTCTCAGGGAATGAGGGAATACGTTTCTAGGGAGTCCCCTTTCGGTTCATGCCCAACACCCTCGGTCATCCCCCACCTGTCGCACCTTTGGATTGCCATAACTTAACTCCATTCTGAAGTTGGAAATTCGAGAGTCAAGGTCTCCAAGGGCGTGTAAGCAATTCCTCCCAATACCTCCCACCTTCTTTCAGGGTATCTGAACCTTTTACTTGGTAAAGGGATTGGTATTTGATTTGGAACACCCAGTGTTTCGCAGATGCCCAGTGGCTATTGGCAAAAAGGGCACCCGTGTTGTTTTGGTTGAGTTTAAAGGGGAACCCTTGTCCAAAAAACAGCAGGGCTTTTCCCCGCAGACCAACTGAAACCGCCGGGGGTTGGCTTTCTGCTCGGGTCATGACCCCGGATCCCCCAATTCAGATCTCAGGGGCCGCTCATCGTCAACGCCGCTTTGCTTTTCCGACCCCGCGTGGCGGGAAATTCCACCTCTAAGACGGTGCGACCAAAAAACGGAATGGGGTTCTGTCTTGCTGAGCGGAGCTCAGGGAATGCCGAAGCCTTCTTTTTCATGTTTTATTAATATCCTTGTGGGGGGGATTTTAAGACACATGCACCCTTTTAGGTTCCCTTCAAGCCTGGGGGGTGGGGGTTTGGCCAGCCAAGGTCATCATTTTTGCCGGGCTCTGGCGTTGTGGGCATAACGTCGAGTCGGCCTCCCTCCCTCCCCGCAAACAAAAAATGTCGGAGCAAACCATGTGGGCCTTTTTTCTTGAGGAACCACCAAAAGGGTTTGTCTCAAAGGGGAATCTCCCCAAAAGGGTGGTGTGAGTTTGGTGTCCCTTTGAAACAAGAAAAGACACTATAAATGGATGGCGGGTTGCCGATAGAAAAACCCACCAGCAAACAAGGGTAGTCTCTAAAAAAATCGCACGACCATTGTGGCTATGAATTTCAACGGAAACCCCTTCAAAAGTAGTTGGTGGCATCTACATTCCAGAAAATCACCATGTCCCTTTGTCCTTTGAGGGCCTAAAAGGATACATCCGAAAACCGCAGCTGCTTGATTTAGATCTGAATCAGCTGGTATTCCGGTTTGACTCATCTAAATGTATCACATCCATGTGACAAGACATGTACCTCCAGGGTTTCCATGATGGTTTTCGGGACCTGCCTCGACTAACTCCACGGGCCCAAGCGATCAACGTCACCTCCATTCCCTGGACCCTGGACCCTCGAAATACCGACTTAAAAATGGGCTAAAGCCTCAAGATGGCTGGCGCGATCCCTTTTGGGTAGTTTGAGGGTTCGGGTCCAACTTTATTGGACACCGCAACCAGTGTTTGGGGGCTCAAAACCTGGCCCAGCGGCCCAAAATACCTCGAATTGGGGCGTCTGGGCACGGAAAGAGCCAAGGAGATAACACACGTCCCCTTTGCTTCCATTTTCGTGCAAGCACGAATCATCGAGTGTACCCTCCCAAACATGGGGTCCCCTTAGAAGGAACATGCTCGTCCAGCTTCATGTTGGCTTTTGGGAGGGTGACTTCTGCCGTTTCGGAGGGAAAAGCACAACTTGCCAAAATGCGAAAGATTCGACATACTTGGATTTCGCGGCCATCCACAGTACATGGGTGAAATCGCTGATGAAAATCCTGAAGGGTAAACAATGGTGGTGAGATATATATGAACCCAGCCATTCTTTAACCAGACGGACAGACAGACAGACAGACAGAGACAGACACAGACAGACACAGACAGACACAGACAGACACAGACAGACACAGACAGACACAGACAGACACCGACAGACACAGACAGACACAGACAGACACAGACAGACACAGACAGACACAGACAGACAGAGACAGACAGAGACAGACAGAGACAGACAGAGACAGACAGAGACAGACAGAGACAGACAGAGACAGAGAGACAGAGAGTGAGAGGGAGAGAGAGAGAGAGACAGAGAGAGAGAGAGAGAGACAGAGACAGAGAGAGAGAGAGTATAGAGAGTATAGAGAGTATAGAGAGTATAGAGAGTAGATAAAGAGAGCTTTTCCAGTGTGGGCGAAACCGCTCGCTTTCATGTGCGGTGCGCTCCGTGGATTTCGCCAGACCCATCCGCCGCCTCGTTCCTCACCACGGAGCAGCGGATGTGCTTCGCCCGGGCCGCGAACTTCAGCCTCGGGCCCGAGGGCGCTGAGTCTCTGAACCAATACCAGGACCCTCCAAAGCAGGGCTGCGGGAAATGGAATCCACCGCGATACAGCAAGGGCTTCCCAAAGACCAACCCAGGAAAAAAGGGGCAGACTCCAACTTGTACCACAGGAAGTGGGGATACAGCCCGAGCGATCCGTCACAGCCCTGCTCCCAAGTACCCGTAAAAAGCTCCAGCCACTGTCGCGCTCGGTTTCTGGGGCTTCGAGTGCATGAGAAAAAGGCGATCGCAACTGGAGCGATCCGGGTGGAATTCGGCCCAGAACCATAGGTTTGGGTTGCCTTGACCCATGTCTTGATTGGAGTTGCTGATGGTTTTGGGGTCCAGGTACCTGAACCCTCAAGAAACTCCAACTCAAAAATGGGCAAAACAACCTCGAATTATGAGGTGAGTTTCATTTTTTGATGGGTAGTTTGAGGGTCCTGGTATCCCTAACCCCCGAATACCCACGTTTTGTTCAGGGGTTGGATGTCAACCCTTTACTACAAAACGGAGTTGCATTTGCCTTGGACAACCGATCTCTTTTCCCAACAGAGCTTTGTCTTGAGGTGCCTTCCAATTCAGGTCACTCCAACCCTTTCTGACGCTCAGGGTTGGATTGCTGGGTCTTCACGTCGACCACCCAAGGTTTCCCCCGAAACGGTTCCGGTTGTCCTTTTGCTTTCCTTTTACACGACAAAATTAGGGCACCAACCCGAAGAAGAAAAAAAGACCGAGCCAACCCCCCTTTCCGGTCCAGAAAGCACGGACCACCTGCGGGTCGAAAAAAATCGGTCGAGGGGCGTAGACACCGTCTCGGCGCAGCAGATCTGGGCTGGGCTCACGTTGGCTACCACCACCTCAATCGGATCGATTGATCAGCTGGCGCGAGTGGGATCGTGCGCATGTCGGGTCGACGGTCGACTGGCGGGATGCCTAGGTTCCTGCCGCCTTTTGCAAACAACTCGGAAACCCTGCAAACTGATGGGAAGTTGCCGTGATTTCCACAAAATGGTGGTTTTCATGTTGGTTCCCCTTTGAACCCTTGAAACCCAACCAGAAAGGATACCCTTTGGGTCGTGCCCGCTAGAACTAACAGTGACCACAAACAGGAGCACACAAACACCACCAGAAAACATAAAAACCGCAAAGCAAACTTGAGGTTTTTGAGTATTGGGTGCCCGCCCACCCTACAACCTAAATTGCTCCCTTGGCGTTTTGGGGTATTCCCGGAAAACTTTGGGTGAACTGATTCAACAAGTATAGTGGGTGCCGAAAACATTGGCCACCTACAATGAGAAAGGTAAAATTGCCAAAACACATGACGAACAGTCTGGTCAAGAACTTTGCCATCCATGGAGCACAAGTCGCCAAAACTGCTGCCTTTTGCAAGCATGAACGTGCTACCTATGTTACATATCAAATAGGTAAACTAGAACCAGAAATCATCGAGGTTGCACGATATACGCAGGCACACACACACACACACGAACACTGCATCCTGCATCATGAGAAGCATGAGTAGCACAGTAATACTAGAAGCGCAATCATAATCGTAACAACAATTTAGTAACACACCATTTAATACTACCAGTCCAAGAAAAATGTGTGAAGTTCACGATGATACAACTGTCAGCAAGCCAACCCAATGTAAACTACTGTGGATGGACGGAATCCGTTCGCACCACTTTGAAACAATGGCTGAAATGATGTCTTGGTATTTACGTTGGGGAATCGAATCATCCCAAGCTTTGTTGGGTGGTGCGAAATGGATTTTGCAACCATCCACAGTACGAAGCTTAGTCTAAAGTCATATACCCTTGCCTCCACTTTTGTGGGTAACTTCTTCCGGTCGAGGGTTGTCGTGCTTTTGCTTTACGCAAGAAGCCCTCCGAAAGCCGAGAGAGGAGCTTCTTAAGCTCCAATTTTCAGCTTCGTGGTCAAACCAAACCGGGTGATTCCATCTACCCATACAGGTAACCGAGGGCTTGCCACACTTGAACAACCACCAGGAGCACGGAAAAAGGGTTCACGAATTCAACCTCCAGGGGTTCAAATGCAAATCCAAAAACCACCGGGCTCCAAACCACCTTTTCAGGGCCACCCTTGTTGGGGTTGGCTCTAGGAGGCCCAAAACTGAGTCTGGGATCACGTGGGCGCCCGGGCGGTTTTGGAGTTGCCCCCCAAGGAGTCTCTCAGCAGAAAGGTCCTTGGCATCAGCTCGAAGAACTGGGGCGGGGGGGGGGGGGGGCGGAGTGGGGGGAATCGCCGGAGTGTCCCCAGAAAAAAAAAAAAAAAAAAACACTCACCTCCTGAGGTTGATGAAGCCCAAAAAACGAAAAGTCCCCCTCTTTCAATCCATCTTGGGGCTCTGGCCCACTTTAAGGGAAACTTTCCTGTGTGCCGCTATCATGGTCTTCCGGAAAAACGTCTCATTGAGGTCTGAGGTCTTCCAGTGGAACGGCGACCCCAAATGCATGACGTCCCTTTCCCAAGCCAACCGCAAAGAGCGGTACCCTACATAGCTGCCCTTTTTGGCTTCGTTAGAAATAGGTGGATTGGTAAAACGCCATGCATCAACCAGGGAACTGAGAAGTGGTCAGTGATTCTGGTGTTCACCCACTTAAAAGACTTCTATGTCCAGTAAAGTTCTAACCTGGGTTCATATCCGCTGGACGAAATCCCCCACTCAAATCCGCGAGACGGAAAGCCGTGGCTGCCCCCACTTAGCAGAAACGTGAGTCGATCGATCGAAGCAAGTATTTTTTTGGATTGAAGTAAGTTGATTCGGATGAGGTAAAGGACCGGTATCATAAGCTTATTCTACCGGCAAATCGGTGGAACCTCTCGCCCCAATAAAGACAAGCCCATTTCGGCATGTAACCAGGACCCTCACACTACCCATGCAAACGGGAATTCACCCCATAATTTTCGGGCTTCCCAGGTTTAATTTGGAGTTTTGATGGTTCAGGCACCTGTTTTCTCGGTTTTGAAGGGAAACCAAAAGGACCACCACCATTTTGGGGGTCCAACCTCAAAAAACACTAATATATGTAGTCCACCCAGAGAACAATAACGTGTGAGCCACCACCATTTTGGGAGCCCAACCTTGAAAACGAACAATACCTGGATTCGGCTCTGATTCGGCTCTCATCCGGCTCTCTCAAGGCTCCGGCAGCTTGCTGTCGCGGTAATGCACATAGTTGCTGCCGCCTAAGCGGCCCGAGGTCACAGACCTTCATGGATTGCCCACGTCAGGTAAGCAGGCTATAAACCATGGTAAGGGAACCAAGCAACTCCACTGAGCCTGCTTATAACCAATCTTTTGAAACCTACTTGCCTGACTTGGGTCGCCTATGATAATGGTAACTGGGATTCACTGGGCTAGCTTGTGGGGTTACCCAAATCCTTGCAACCAAGCCTTGTTGCTAACCACTTTCTTTTAGTCAATAGGCAAATTCCTTCCCCCAGGCAGCTCGCCATGGGAGAGTGCCGGGTTCAAAAGGCAGAAGCTCGGATTCATCTTGATGCCAGGAAAATCGCTTTGCCCCGTGCTGCTGAGAGAAAAAAAAGAAGGAAAAAAACGACGCTGTCCCATGGAGGAGTGTCCCATGGGCTCATTGGGGTCACCATGGTCGTTTCTCGGAAAAAAGAGGTAGCTACCCTGCAAAAACCGGGCGTTCTTCTAGAAATACCCTGCGAACCAGGCGAAAAAATTGGAGTAGTACTGCTCATTCCAAGGCTCACACACGAGCCCTTCGAGGAGCTTCGGGCTTTCGAACGGGCCGAAGAAGCCGGGCAGGTCACTCAGGTCACCAAAATTTCGCGCGGGAACCCAACTGGCAGGCCCTTGGTTAATTGCAAAACCGGGTGAATGGATCCACTGGCTTGTGTAAACCAAGATGTTTTCGCCACGACCTTTCAAGCACAACTCCGCGTTTCCTCTTTGGGGACCAGAGTTTAAGCCAATTGGCAGGAGCCTTTTCGGGGGTCTGAAAACGCCGAAATGCGCCAGCTGTTTGCTTTTTAGCCCCAGCTCAGGGTACACCATGGACGCCCAAAATCTAATCATGCCTTCCGAGTCAGGTCCCAGCAGATTTAGGATGATTTGGGAGACGCCTCCAGAACAACGTGGTCCTCCTCACAATCACAAAATGATGGGAATTCGGGTGGCTCCCAACAACAGACTAGACCAACAACAGACTAGCAGTTATAGTATGGGTCAAAACAAAACCACCAGGGCACCGCAGGTTTCAGTCCGTTCCATTTACCAGGGTACCTGAACCTCAAAATTACAACTTAAAACATGGGTCAGCAACCAAATGGTGGTTCCTTCTCGAATGGGTGGTGTGAGGGTCCAGGTGCCTAGTTTGGACCCACAGCCATTTCGCGAGTTGCTCATGGGACATTGGGGGCGGGTGAACTTTGACCCTTGCGCCCCTTATTTTCTCCCGGCGATCGGGAACGCTTGGCGCAATCGATAAACCCCCCCCGATCAGCTTCGGACGGGGAGAAAAAAGAGGTGGATCACCCCTGTAAACCGGAAACCTCAGATGGCCATGGGTCAAAATCCCGGCTACCCCCCAAACATCCCGTGGTGCTACCCCAAAATGGGATCCCATTGGTTTTGACCCACAGCCAGATGTTTTGAGGTCCTTGGGGGTCAAATGCCCTCCAGTTCCGGGACAGGAAGATGCTCTGGTTAAACCCCTCCAGTGGTTGCGTGGGAAGAGATTTGGAATGGCACCACTGGAGGCCTCATGAAAGGGGTTTGCCCCAAAAACGAGGGTTTTCCTTTGGATTTTTGGAAGCCAACCAAAAGGGGTTCCCTAAAAAAGACACCGGGCAACTGCCCTTACAAGAGATCCAGCTCATTCTGGATCCGTGTCACGTCGCCGCCATCTCCTACATGCCCCCAGGCGATCAGTGTGCCATCCTCCCGGATCGCAGCAAAGGCGCCTCGGCATAGGTGTCCCTTGAGGGGAAAAAATGGATATCCCTGGTGGACGATTAAACCAGGTAAACCAGGAATCGCCATCTAGTTTCCCACCAAAACAACTAAAAAGGAACACTTATGTCACCCACATTTACCCTGGGCCAAAGGTTGGTAACTATCACCTTGGAGTATGTTGGATCGGTTTGGTGGTGGTCCAACTTGTTCTTCTACCGGGGGGTGCCTTTGCCCTCCAACCAATTCATGGGCAAGGCGCCCCGGTTGGCTTGGACTTCCAAGACCCGCGTCAGCTGCTCGCGCACGCCGCTGCTGTCGCCCCCCAAATCCGGCGCTCCCCAGGTGACCACCGTGCCGTCCTGCCGGAGGGCTGCGAAAGCCCCGCGGCTCGCCTGGATCTGCCGGACACGAGTCAGCTGCTCTTGCCTCAGCTCAAAAAAAACAAAAGGACATAAAAGGACCCTCCGGAGCATCGCCAGTGGCTGTTTTTTTTTCCCCCATGCACTTTACACCAGCAACAGCAACTGAAAAAGGCGGCAACTTGGCTATCTAGGCTGAATTTCATGGTCAACCCATGTTGGGGTGACTTAAACATGGACGACAAACAAGAGGAAACCCAAAGGTCGAAAGGTCGATTCTGGTGAGTGAGTTGCACATCTCGGCTATTGCCGCCTCGTGCTGAATGTCCCCAAGTAATGACAGTGCCATCCGCACGGATGGCAGCAAACGCAGCATCCGAAGACTGAATCTGTCGGACACACGACAGTTGCTCTTGCACCTCGCTGCTATCACCGCCCTGCGCAGAACTACCCCAAGTGATCACCGTGCCGTCCTCGCGGATGGCAGCAAACGCAGCAACAATGTGATGAAATACCCCTGCTGCTCCGTGAATCTGCCGGACACAAGTCAGTTGCGGCTGCACCTCGCTGCTGTTTCCGCCATACGACGGATGACCCCAAGTGATCACGGTGCCATCCTCGCGGATGGCAGCAAAAGCACCGGTGCTTGCCTGAATCTCTCGCACGCCAATGAGCTGATCTTGCACCTCGCTGCTGTCACCGCCAACGTCTGGCTTACCCCAAGTGATTACTGAGCCATCCTCTCGGATGGCGGCAAACGCAGCACCCATTCGATCGAAAGCGCCGGCTGCGCCTTGAATCTGTCGGACACGAGTCAGTTCTTCCTGCACCTCGCAGCTGTTCCCGCCATGATCCGTATGCCCCCAGGTGACCACGGTGCCATCCGCGCGGAGCGCGGCAAAGGCGCCGCGGTTGGCTTGGATCTCTAAGACTTGCGTCAGCTGCTCGCGCACGCCGCTGCTGTCGCCCCCCAAGTCGGGGTCGCCCCAGGTGACGACCGTGCCGTCCTCCCGCAAAGCGGCGAAAGCGCCGCGGCTCGCTTGGACACGCCGGACGCAGGTCAGCTGCTCCTCACTTGCGAAGAAAGAAAAGGTGAACTTTTGGAACCAAAAGATCAAAATGGTGGCGTGACGTCCCTTTTGCTTTGTGTGTGTCCTAGGACCAAAAGAAACCTCGTGGATCGCCAGTTACTGTTGTGTTTTTCTCTAGGCACTTTACCCCAACAACCAGCAACAGTGACTGAAAACAGCGGCAACTTGGCTATCTAGGCTGTTGAGCAATGGGGTCAAAAGGTCAAAGGAAAACACAAACTCCTGGACCATTGACTCGACTACATCTCACTTCTGCCACCGAAGACCAAACCAAACCTTTTTAAAGAGACCAAAAATCCGTTGACCCAAAAAATCGGCTCCACCTTCCACCAAAAGTTGGAAGAAGAATCAGCTCCCGAAATCTCGATCTGAGGCGCTTGCACCTTGCTGCTGTTGCCCCCCAGCTTAGGATGCCCCCAGGAGATCACCAGGCCATCCTCGCGGATCGCCGCAAAGGCGCCTCGCCCGAAAAATCGCAAGGCGATCGAGCGGTTTTCGCTGCGTGGCGGGCGGCGCTCTTCGCGCGCCTTTAAAGCTTCGGTGTTTTTGCTTGTTCTTTTTCCGGGGGGCTTGTTGGATCGGCTTCTTGGAACTTTCCGAGACCCGCCGTGGGAAGATTCACCCATAGGTGTCCCTTTAGGGGAAACCGATATCCCTGGTAGATATGAAACCATCTATTGTTCGAGCAAAACAAACAAAAAGGACACTTATGTCACCCACATTTACCCTGGGCCAAAGGTTGGTAACTATCACCTTGGAGTATGTTGGATCGGTTTGGTGATGTTCCGTTGTGCTTGTCCAGGAACCAGGGGTTCAAGCCCTCAAACCAATGGGCCATATGTTGGTACCTGGACCCTCAAAAATACCAACTTCAAAGCGGCGGGCCATAGCAACCCAAAATTGGTTGGCGAAATCCAACTTCTTCATGGCTAGTTCTTTCGGGTCCAGGTACTCGGAGTGTGTTGAATTGCTGGTTCGGTGGTGTTCCAGAAATGGCTTTTCGCTTACCTTCTGCAAGAACCAGGGGTTCAAACCCTCAACATATATCCAAACCACCAATTGGAGGGGAACCTGAATTGATGCGCTCCAAAGCACAACACAGAGTCCCTGGCTTTTGTCCTTTGAGTGCTTGAGTTATCTTGCCCCCAAAATGTGGGGGATTCCCCAAAATGAAACCTGTGAAATTGTTGGAGGAAGTGCAAAACCCTGCTAAAAGTTTAACTTTTAGCGCGCACTAAACAACTAGAAAGATCTAAGTACCTTTCTGCAACCGGACGATTCGCTGGCTAAACCACCAGCACATGTCAAGATACCATGGGCCTGAACCCCACATTTCCACTCAGAATGGATTGCAGCCGCAAATGCATGGGGTGAAATCCCATCTTTAAGTTGGAACTTTGAGAATCCCCAGTTTTGATTTGGAATTTCCTGGGTCCAAGGGGAGGTGTTTCCATTCTTTCCAGGGATCATTCTTTTCAGGAAACCATCCAAGAACCCAGGGGAAAACGGCGCTTTTTGTTAAGAGAATGGACAAGAATCAACCCCTAGAGTGTTATCCCATCTTTCAGTTGGAACTTTGAGGGTCCTCCCTGGAATTTCCTGGGTCGCTTGGAGGGTCCCCCCCCATTTTTGGTGGTTTTTGAAAGGGACACCACAAGGACAACCACAATTTTGTGCGTCTAAACAAAGACACCTGGACCCCAAAAACATGGGCTGAATTCCCTTTGTGTGGGTTGAGGGTCCAGGACCCCGAAAGGAAACCAATAGATGCATAATTGTGACCCGGGTTAATGGCCCCATTGTTCGCGATCG